TGGGTGAAATGAGTGGTTTTTTTACGGCGTTATCAGTGGGGATATTGATCTGTTATTTGTTGATCAAGAGGTATCGCGTATTTGATACATTTCACCATGGTTTTGCGTATGGCTTCTAATCCCCATACAGATTTCTATACCGGCGCCAGATCCACTGTGGATGGGGCTTGTGCTTACCGCTGTTGGCGCTGGGGATGGTGATGGAGTCGATATTCTCGGTAATCTACAGTATTCTGTAATTTGATGGTTTGGACACCCGGAAACGAAGGTCGAGAGCGGTAGCAGCTCCATCAAGCACTCTACAGACTGAACCGAGTGTGGGCGTACCTGACCCAAACGATGGAGCGATCATGACCAGGGACGGTAAATCAATCATAATCAGAATCAGGAAGTAGGAAGATGATAATAATGAAAATAGTGATAATGGAAGAATTATCAGTTCCTAACCGCTCTTGCTGGTCCGGCTGCGGGTCGATGTGATCCGTTTCGCTGCCTCACTTTAGGGGCACACCGTGTTCTTTCTTACATCTCAACGTGATTTGGTTTGATTTCACGTATTTATTTCCTTTTATTTTATATGTTTTTGTCTTTTGACATGGATGAATGGTAGATTCCCGCCCAATTCCCAGTACCTTTTCACATTATTATTTTATTTTATCTCTTTCTTCTTTCAGGTATTTCCCTCCCCTTCAATTTCTTGATTTTGGACTTCCCGTCTGTCAATCATCCTGAGTGGCCCAAACTGAGTACCTAGTACTAGACCCTCCAGGCACTCACGTTCCCGATCTGACTCTAGTACTTGTCGGCAGTTGACCAGTCAGTTGGCGTGTTACCTTGATGGATTCTCGCTAGTCCCGAAATTGGATCGAGAATCGACATCATCTTCCATTCAGGGTGGACACCATGGGTTCGTGTCTTCTGGACTTGACGCTCTTCAGACACTAGCGTCCTGATCACCGTCCCGAAATAACCCCCAGCCATCAGCCATAAGAGATGTGGTGGAGGGAGGGAAGAGATCTTCTCACCCAACAAATCCCAATGGTTGGAATAGCAATGAGACAAATCAATGAAGATGGAAATTAGGCGCGTCGAGACAAAGAAAGTCACAAAAAAAGAAAAGGGGTAAAACATAAAAAAAGAGAATAATATAATAAAATCAATAAATGAACAAACAAATAGAAAATACGAATTTGATTAAAATCAACATCCAACCCATAGAGAGTTCCATACACCAACAGAGGAAAACTGGATGCTGACCAGACAAGGCTGTTACTCGTTCGAAGAGGAAGTTGGAGAGTCCAGACCCTTTGCTGATCCACCTGTGGTTACTATTATGGTTCTCTTATTTGATCTCTTCTTCTGATCCATTTTAATTCCTCCCGAGACATTATTGGATCTATTATACTTTGACCACGTTCGACCTGGATAGATCGCCCAAGTCCCTCCAAAGTCCCTCCAAAGTACCCTCTGATCGATGGAATCATCCACGCCATGGACTCCTAACCAGATCAATCGACTAGAAGGTCCTTCCACTACTCTGTCCTGATATCCTCCTGAAGTACCTTCATTATTATTATTATATCATATTATATTTATTTATGATTATTTTATACTCTTTACTCCGCCATCTCACAGACTTGTCATCCCCCACCCCGGTCTCCAATCGACATTCATCTCTCGCTCTCTCTTCTCTTCTTCGGATCTTTTAATATTCTCGTCTTTTCTCCCCTTTTCATTCCATCTTGTTTTTTCTTTCCTCTCACTCACTCTTCTACTCCCTTCATCATTTCTCTTCCTTTCCCTTGAAACCCTGACCTTTCTGGTGGAGACTCCATAGTATTGGATCGCCACTAATCTACTTGTCGCGGTCCCCTCCCTCGTCTCTCATCTGGGGTTGACCTGGTTCAGCAACCTTGTGACGACCGATCAGTATTATTCCTTTTGATGCCCCTCCTTCTATATATCTTGAATTTGCGACACATCCCACCAGTGGTCGCCAAATTTCAAAGAGTTCATATCCTTCACCTTTCGGTCAGTCTTCTCCCCATCGTCCTCGTGATAATACTCCGGATCGGCATTGACTCAACGCTAGCAGTGATATTATCCGTCCCTTGCCCAAGCTGTTTGGTACTGAAAGCAGCTCCTTGGATCCCCCTCCTCACCCGGCCGGAAGGACGTTTCCAACATGTCCGCCACCATGGCCAACGACGATATGTTCTCGACCACCATCTCTATGTATCGGGACTATTTCATGGATCAGCACTCCCATCTCTCGGAGTCGGAACGCAATCAGCTGTGGAGCCAACGTTTGAGCTCATTCATCCCGACGACGGCCTCGTCGTCCAGCTATCGCCCGGTTCCCGGCTCGGACTTCCTTGACCTTGACGCCTCGCCGTGCGAGAAATCTGGGAAACGGACCCGCCAGGAAACCCCCCGGACTCTCCCGGTCTCTGGTCCTCCGCCAACAAAACGACGAGTCACCGTACGTGATTGATCCTTGGTCTTTTGCTCCCGTCCAGTCTCCCGTCTCTGCCCACCCTGTTCCTGTTGAGCTAGCATATCCACTGTTCTCTTCTCTTCACTCGCGCCAACGGTCCCTGGATTGACAATTGGCAGACTCCGGAACCCCCAGTGACCGTTGACCTGACCCGTGACCTGTCGCACTCGTCTTCCCCGGCCGCCCCCCAGACTACCCGAAAGGTATCTCGATCGGCGTCGCGCAAGGAGGGCGTCGCGTCTTCTATGGGTCTCGGCTCCACCTCCCGGCACAACACCTCCATGGTCCGCTCGCAGAGCCAACAGACCCCGGTGTCCCACCAACATGCCGCCATCGCCGCCATGATGGGTCAGCGACAATTCGTGGGATCTCAGCGGCCCCAGCGGCGCCTGGACTACGTGAACGAGTACTCCCCGTCCGAATATACTCGGCGCTATCTGGACGGACCACAGGGTCAGGCGGGCATCTCGGCTCTGTCCATGACGCTCGCCGCGGACCCCACGATGACTGGACTCCAGCAGTCCCATCCGCAGCCGAATTCCCAGCATCTGGGGACCGAATCCGAGCTGCTGACGGACTTGTCCCGTCTGGGTTCTTCCTCGATGGGCGATCTCGCAGTCCCTCCGGCCTCGAGCGCCATCGCGATGAGCCGAAGCCCGACCACGGACTCGTTGTGTGGTGGCTTGGGCATGATGAGGTGCGAATCCTCCGATCCGAGCGTGGGATCGGGTTTCCCCTTCCCCTGTGCCACCGGTTTCTCCTCCACTACGCCCCCCGTGAACGTCCCCTTCATCAACCCGTTCACGGCACAGCCCTGTGGCTCGCAGGCTGCGTTCCCTTACCACGAACCCTCCCCCCTGTCTCAGTTCTCGTGCTCCGCCCCTCCCACCACATCCTTCCCACCCTCCATGCCTACAATTCTTTCGTCCCCGGCGCCGGAAATGAAGCACTCCATGTCCACGGAGAGTGACAGTTCATGTCTGTCACAGCCCTCTCGGGCGGCGCGGCGGACGCAGGAGCAGATCGCACAGGGCACACGCCCTATCGCCCCTAAGATGGAGGCGCAGCACAGCTCCCCGCCGAAGACGGGCGAACAGCACAAGATGATTCGCATCTCGTCCACAGACGGGATACCGAAAGAAGTGGCTGCCATCCCCAAAGCCTCTGTCCAGCGGCCTCCGCGCCCCAAGACCTACTGCGATCTGTGCAACGACCAGCCCGATGGCTTCCATGGGGAGCACGAGCTGCGCCGACACATTGAACGGGTCCACGCCGTCGTCCGGAAGGTCTGGGTGTGCAACGACATCTCCGCGGGCAAGACCTTCCTCGCCAACTGCAAGGCGTGCCGGAACGGGAAGCGCTACGGCGCCAACTACAACGCTGCCGCTCATCTGCGTCGCACTCACTTCAACCCGTGCCAGCGTGGCCGAGGTGGTCGGGGCAAAGACAGCGAGAAGCGGGGCGGCAAGGGCGGTGGAAACCACCCACCCATGGACGTCCTCAAGCACTGGATGATCCAGAGGGAGGAGATCGTGCTCGAAAATGCGCAAAGCTACGTGGACCAAGACCTCGGCGGGGACGACCTGGCCGTCGCTCCGTCCACCGAGGTCGATGAGTCATTTTGCAGCGTTTCGACGTCTCAAACGACTGATCCGGGCCTCGCCCTTCCCCAGTTGGATCAGTCTGCTCTGATGAGCGACTACGAGGCCTTTTCGACGGGCTTCCCCATGATTCCCATGGACTCAGCGTCCCTCGATGTCCCGTGCTACTTTGACTCGCACGCGCTCCCCCCTGCGATCGATTCGTATGTGTGATTTCATACTGTTGTCTGTTTATATATTAGACCTCTCATGACGCCGGACCTTTGGGTTACCTTTTCTTCTTCTTTTCATTTCTTTCTCTTTCGACTTTTTTTTTTCTCTTGAAGTTTTACACTTTTTATCTTGTCCATTTCTTTTTTCTCTGCATAATATTTCCACCCCTCGTCATTATAATGCGTTTTTTGCTTCTGTATTTACTGATTGATTATTGCTTTCTTCTCTTTCTGTGCGTGGATTGTTTGCCTTATGATTCTTTGTTCCGCGGGATTACTACATTTGTGCTTACTTTGTCTTTTACTTGAACTTGCAACGGACTGAGGCCGAACCAGCCGGCTCTCGAGATACCCGTTGCAGGTGATACGACATAATGTGTGATGAACAGCAGTCTTCAGCCAGACTCAAATTTATGAATGTATTGATTTGGAAACAGCAACAGCAGAGCCCATCCTGAGATGGGATTGATCACATGGTTGAGACCTTTCCCCCTTCGCACCAATTTGAACAAGATGCAACGGCGTCCTCCGTACGTAGAGCGGTGTTGAGAGACAGGTAAGCCGGTAACATCAGCAAGGGCGATCATAGCAGCGGTGAGCTAGCTGCTCGTGGGGTGATCCTGTGCTGTGCCCAACAGTTCCTTCCATACCAGGGATCGGGATGGATTTTGTGGACTCCCACGAGCAGAGTGGAGACCCCGAGAGAGGGGGGTAACAACCAGTCATGATGGAGTCGGACACCGTGCTAAGGTGCCGTCCTATGGGTGTCCGTGGTTGGGCGGCTACTAACACCCTACGTCCGCCGAACTCTGGCTTGTCGTAGGGAGCAGGGCCAATGATGTGGCCACTGCCCACTAATGAGACCAAATCGCCGTGAGTTGGCGTGGCTGGTGTTTCCCCACAGACGGGACTCGGCGGTTTGCACTTCTATAGGGCTGGATTGATGTGGCGGAGAGAAAGCACACGAGCACATGATCTGGTGTATTGTACTGTAACGACCAAACCTATCCATGGGTCATCTATTGCCTTGTGATGGTCCTCTGGATCAGTGGGATCTGAGGGTGACGCTGATAAGTCGAACAGATGAGTTCTACAACATGATATAATTCTGTCTTACTCTTCCTGCATACTCCACATGTATTTGGTTGTGAGAAGGGTCAGAAAAAGCATGGCTGCGGAATCATACCGAGACCCGTAATACCGAATAGTAATACCGAGTACCGCATCCCCTTGATTAGTTAGGATTGATTGTTGACGGCCTCAGTCAGTCCAGACCTTTTCTCTTTTCTCTTTTCTCTTTTCCCTTCCGACTTGTCCTTCTCTTTCCTTTTTAATCTTCCATTCATTGTTTTATTTTTAATCTTGACTATTGATTCGTGTTGCTCTTCCCTTCTGGACCACGGTGGGTGCCTCTTATCCATCCTCTTCTCCCTCCAACAAAACTAACGGGCGAATTAAGTTAATCTAGTGGTTCTTGTCCCCTTTCAGAATTCCTGCTGCCTATTCCCTCTCTCCCCTTCTCTTTTTTTTTTTTTCCTTTCCCCCCCCCATCACCATTCTCCATCCCATTTTCCCTCGACCCGTTTGAACTTGGCATTCTTTAGGTACGTCTCAGCTCCCCTTGTAATTGGTGCTTGGCTGGTCACAATCGGGGCTGTCGCTTCGATTCGCCAATTCCCCCTCCCGGTTGTTGTTAATTGTTATGACTCCGATTTGACCCTCATTCCTCCCTCTCATCTCTCGATCTGAATTGACTGCACATCGATGCATGTGGCTTACTCCCAGTTTTGATTCTGCAGATCCCGTCGCGCAACCATGAGTTCCCAAGGATACTACAACGGACCGCCGCCGCCTCCCCAGGCGTAAGTGTCGCAGCGCGAACACCCCCCCTCCCGACCTGCCGTCTCCTATTACCCCCCCGCTTGACCGTCCCCATGCACGTCGCAATTGGATCGTGGATCTCGGACCGCCCGAGTTTGTTTCATACTGCATCTAGCCCAGGCCTATTGGGGAGCGATTGTCGTGCGATTGTCTCCATCTGGCGCCCGCGATCAGACGAGTGACATGGGGACTGGCGGCTCTTTTTCGAGCACCCGTTGCGTTGGCGCAGGGCGCTAACTCGTACTCCATATTTAGATATCCTCCTCAGGGCGGTTATCCTCCTCCCCAGGGCGGCTATCCTCCGCAGGGTTACAATTACCCTCCCCCTCAGCCTCAGGGCTATCCTCCTCCTCAGGTGTGTTGCGACTTGATACCCCACACCCTAGTGGTGCCATACGCATCAACGAAAAGGCTCTGGGACAACAGACGGGCTATAAAATTGTAAACAGCACTGACGAATGCCATTAGATGCAATACCAGCAACAACCGCCCCCGCAGAAGAAGGACCGTGGATGCCTTGGTGCCTGGTAAGACGATATTGCTTTCTTTTCTTTCTCCGCGAGGAGATCCCCTTTCTCCTTCTCCCACTGTTTGTGACGCTTTCGCTGACTTCCTTGTCTTCAGTCTGGCTACGCTCTGCTGTTGCTTCCTCTGCGAGGAGACCTGCGAATGCTGCTTTGACTGCATCGAATGCTGTGAGATGTGCTGAGCGGAACATCCTTCCCTCTATGAGCGAACGTACGACCTCGATGAAATGTTAATCTCGATTCCTCGTCCGGCGGTTTGAAGGTTGAGCGGTGCGCCGGGAAGCACCTGGAAGGCGGACATTAGTCCTTGCACAATCCTTGATGTCTCATCTTCTGCTCTCATTCTCCTATGATTTGCTGGAACGTGAACTTTTTCCCTAATGCTTTTTTATTATTTTCTTCTTTTTTCTGCCGCTTTGGTACGGCTTATGGAATAGGTTTCTTTTTTTGGGTTTGATTATCATTCTTACCAATATTATTATTGTATTTCAAGCAGAAGTCCCTTTTTTGTTTTCTCTTGCTTCGCGACACTTTCGAACATGGCAACTCTGGTTGTTTAATACCATTCTACGGAGTAGATGTCTTGAAGCTGTAATCGTAGATACACGGAGCTGTTGAGGATCTGCAAGAGCGGCGGCCGCGGGTGGAGTCGCCCCAAGGAACAAGATATGCAAAGTTCTTGGCGATCAATCTTATTACCCGGATAATAGTGATTGGCCAGCGTTGGCCTGTGACTTCCAGTCCGCAGCAGAGTGACTCGGATCTTTCTCCGACCTCGACTTAGTCGGCCAGTGAGTGACCTGTTATGCTGGTTCTCATGGCCGCCGAGAATGACTCGGAAATTTCGTTCGGTTAATAAAGCTCGGATTCTTGCCGACGGACAAATTCTCCGTCTAGTTTCCCCGCCTCCCCTATGTTTCTTCTATTACATAGTTGCTGTTGCAATGGCTCGGTAAATTCCCGACTGTCTTCTCGGTTCAAACAGCTGACATGAAGTCATCCCACCCAATTGAGAAATATCACTCAATGTTAAGTCTTGGGAGCAAACCGGGGTACGCTTACCCCACATCTACTCCTCAGGAGATCTTCCAGAAGGGGAAAAGCTCCGCTTCATATTGGGGATGCCCGTACCTGGAACAATGAGTCCCCACACAACATGCATTGCTTCTGGGTTTCCGGGGATACTAGCTCAATCGTGGGATAGTATAGCTACTGTCTGCGGGGGAGATGCGGGACTCTACTCTATATAAGATGGAGTGGGTCGTCCAGGCACCCTGGAGGGGAGAATTGTAGGGTTACGTTGAGTATCGTGGTAGATAGATCACCCTTCAGTCCAGGATGATCCGTGGATATCTTCTTGTGTCTCTGCTGGCCGTGTGCGGCGCGGCTGTGGAGATCTCTGTTGCTTCGGAGGGGGGAAATGCGACGAGCAACCTGCAATATGGTATCATGGAGGAGGTACGTAATAATGAACAATCCACACCACAAACACAGCTCGAGACGCATTTAAGCTGACAGTAAAAATGTCCAGGAAATCAATCACTGCGGCGACGGCGGTCTCTACGCAGAGCTGATTCGCAATCGCGCTTTCCAGGGCTCGACCATGTACCCCGCTAACCTGGACGCTTGGGCGCCAGTCGACGAGTCCCTCCTGGCCCTCAGTACTCCGAGCGTGCCCCTATCCGCTGCGCTGCCGACATCCGTCAACGTGAAGGGATCGAAGGGAACCGTGGGTCTCACCAATGTGGGATGGTGGGGCATTGAGGTTAAGGAGCAGAAGTATACGGGTTCGTTTTATGTCAAAGGTGCCTACAAGGGTATCTTCACGGCCTCGTTGCAGTCGAATACGACGAGTGATGTGCTGGCTAGCACTGAGATCAAATCGAAAAGTGTTGGTGATGCGTGGACTCAGCATAATTTTACGCTTACGCCTAAGGTGGCGGCGCCTGATGCTAAGAATACCTTTTCGCTCACGTTTGATGCGGCTGTAAGTGGATGGACCTGTTTATGGTGAGGGGCGGCGTGTGCTGATTGTTGTAGGGGGCGGACACCGGATCGCTGGACTTCAACCTTATCAGTCTTTTTCCCCCGACATGGAACGACCGCCCTAATGGGCTTCGCATTGATCTGATGCAGGCTATGCAGGATTTCGGACCGGTGGGTTAACCCGCTACCTGTTATTGCGACCATTGACTAATGTGGAATAGAAATTCCTGCGTTTCCCGGGTGGCAGTGACCTCGAGGGTAGCACCCTCGAAGACCGCTGGAAGTGGAACGAGACCATCGGCCCGCTCACGGATCGTCCCGGCCGCGCCACGGCCTGGGGATACCAGCAGACTAGCGGCCTCGGTCTGGTGGAGTACATGCAGTGGTGCGACGATCTGGAACTTGAGCCGAGTAGGTGTCCTTCCCGTTCCAGAACCGCTTATCTACATAATGAAGGAGCATGCTAACTCATCCAGTCCTCGGCGTCTGGGCCGGCCTCACCCTAGACGCGCATGTCATCCCAGAAGCCGAGCTCGGCCCCTACATCGACGACGCGCTCAACGAGCTAGAATTCCTGACCGGCTCCGCCGACACAGAGTTCGGCGCCCTTCGCGCCTCCCTCGGATACCCCGACCCATGGAAACTCCGCTACGTGGAGATCGGCAACGAAGACAATCTCAACGACGGTCTGGAGTCGTACATAGAGTACCGCTTCCAGGCCTTCTACGACGCCATTAAGGCCAAGTACCCAGACATGATCATCCTGGCCTCGACTGTCGATATGGAGCTCACTGGTGACGCGGGCGGCGATTACCACCTCTACGATACGCCCGACAACCTGACCGTGCGGTTCAACTTCTTCGACCAGTATAGTCCTGACCATCCAATTCTGCTCGGTGAGATTGCTGCAACCGAGTTCAATAATGGGAAGGGCATCGACTGGGATGATAAGAACTTTGCGCTGTATCCATGGTGGATTGCGACTGTTTCGGAGGCGGTTTTCTTGCTGGGTGCTGAGCGGAATGCGGATAAGATCATTGGGACTACTTATGTATGTCCTTCCCCCAAGATACAGCTGGATTTATGCTCGGAACTATGGCTGACAAGTGGGCAGGCTCCTTTCTTCATGAACCTCAACGACTGGGAGTGGTCCCCGACCCTGATTTCCTTCAATGCGGACTCGGCGCAGACGGCTCTCTCCACGAGCTGGCATCTGTACAAAGTAAGCCTTCCCTCATTATCCTCTCCGGCCAAAACGGAAAAAGACATAAGTACACGAGACTCACATCAAACTACAGCTACTCTCGGAATCCCACATAACAAACACCCTCCCAACAACCTCAGAAACCGAGTTCGGACCCCTCTACTACGTCGCCGGACTCGACAGCGCCACAGAGTCGCACATCTTCAAGGCCGCCGTGTACAACAGCACCGAGCCCGTGCCGGTGTCGCTCACCTTTGAGGGTGTTAAGACGGGCAGCCCGGCGGAGTTGACCGTGCTCACTGCGCCTGATGCGTTCGCCATGAATGAGGTTGGGGGGCCGAATTTGGTGGATTCGAAGGTACAGACTGTGGAGGCTGGTAAGGGAGGAGTGTTTGAGTTTGAGCTGCCTGATTTGAGTATTGCTGTGTTGAAGACGACTTAACTACAGTAGATTCTTTGCTTGAGAAGCGATGGCTGGTTGGTTGTTCTTCGTCTATATGGTTTGTGGTGGCATGGAACAGCGAATACACTACCAGTCAGAGTGAACAGTTTTACCTTTTACTACCCTGTATAATCATTCGGGTCTACCTATCATTCCATTAAGACCATTTTTGTACTCAGTCGCATGACCCATGCATACATCTTACTGTATCAAATCGAACCATCGTTCGGCGATATAGGATAGTGACTAAACAGATATCACATGACCCGAATTATGCGACCCGCCCGAATCAGACCCCCAGTCGGCGGCGAGTTCAGGCGGCGGGGAGGACCGATGCATAAGTTATACATTCATTGATTCCCTTCATCATCATCAATTTCTCTCTCCTCTTCTCAACTTCATCTTCATCTCCTTTCTTCCTCTTCCTCTCGTTTTCTATCCCCACCTCTCTCTCCGTTCTGGGTGTTTCCCCCACATCCACCCCATCCCATCCCATCCCCATCCCATCCCCATCCCCTTATTAAACGCCACCAACCTCGGATTTATCCTAGACGGGGGATCACAACATCCCATCGTCTCACCTACCAATATCGATCGTCCAGGCCCCAGAGCCTCGGATTTGTCCATCCCCCCATTCTTTTGGCCGAGATCACAGGACACCTCCGTTCGTGCGGGGGGCGGTGGAAGGCCAAAGCTGCGGGGGTGACCCTTTGCGAACTGATTATTGCAGAGCCAAGATCTGATCTCCGAAACGTGGACGTGGACTTTGATTTTCCCGGTCTTGTACGATACTCGGGCTGTACGATTGTGTCATCATCCCGGGCGGGAATCTGCAGCTTCCTGGGAGGGGTTTTATTTTTAAATCTTTTTTCATCCTTACTTTTTTTTTTCACCTGGCGCTTTTTTCTTTCTTTTTATAACTTATCCCCCAACCTGCAGCGTGCGCAAATTCAAGTGACGGGTCTTAGTGACGGACTCCAGTGACGGCGCCGAGCGCTGCTGGAATGCCTGGAAGTGACCCCTCCAGCGCATTATCGACCTCCGCCAACCCTGGGTCATGCAACGTTCCGGGATCATCGCTGTCGCGCCCGCTCAATCCAAATATATCTCGTCAGATGTCGCACTCCGCCCACGAGGGGACAGCCACCTCCCCGGACGACCCAAGTCTGACCGCCACCGCGGCCACCGCGGCACCGTCTTTATCCACGGGACCCCGCGACGGTGAGCCCCCCCGCGAATATGGAGTCGACTCGACGGACGCCGGCCTTTCCGCGCTGATGGCGGTCCCGCACTTTCCCCCTCTCGCCCCCCCTCGTCGCACCGTGCTGTCCGTGTCCGAGCTCGTCAATGCCGTCATGGAGCCGGACACCTACTTCCGGCATGGAGATGCGCCCTCCGACCGCGCGCCGCCGCCGACCTCCTCGTCTCCCCCGACCGAGTCGTACATGTCGGATTCTGAAATGACCGATGTTCTCTCGGATGTCGGCGGCGTGCCGCTGGGCCCGTACCTTGGGAATGATATAGGCACGGGCGGTTTGGTCCACCATGGGGCCCTAGGACTCGGCGACGCGGCCTTGACGGACGATAGCGATGACGAGGGCGCCCAGGGCTTGATTATGGATTTTGATACACCGGTGGAACGGGCGACTCCTGTCTCCGTGCGCGATGACGATTCCGACACGCGCGTTTTTTACGGTGCCCAGGAGGATACCGATGTCCTTGGGGAGCGTGCGGACTCTCTGCCGTCCGGTTCGCCTGTAATTCAACCGTCCGAGGTCGATGTCGGTGATTCGTACCGCGGATTCGAGGAGGATGATATCATGGCGCAGCTGGCGGAGGACCAGGGTCTAGGCGAATTCAATGTCGATCATCAGTTCCCGGATATGGACATCCACGGTACAAGTATGTATTTATCTGTCATCTGTCCGCCTTGTCTGGTTACTTACATGGTGCTAACCCTATGCAGTACAGGAACGGAATTTCAACATCGATCAGTTTATCTTCCAGTGGCTGGTTCACTGGTCGAACGGGACGATCCCTAGCATCCCACACTTACGGACGCCGTCGCCGCAGGGTCCGATCTCCAATATCGCGTGCTGGTCACCCCCGGAGAAGACCGTCCGGCCCGCGCGCTATCGCGGAGACTTTTTTGATCTTCAGCCCATCCCCTGGTGGGAAACCCTCCGGGTCAAGCGCTCCGATGCCCGCAAACTCCGCGATCAGGGTTACACTTCCTACCACAATCTGGAATATTCGCAGCACCGGCCGGGGGTGCGGCTGCCGCGGGAGGAGTTCTACTTCCAGGAGAAGTCCATGCACACCAAGTGCAAGGCGACGATCGAGCACTTCCAGCTCCGCAATCTCATGTCGGTGCCCGCGTACAACACCGTTCACTTCGCTCACCAGTGCAAGGTGTACTCGTGGGTGCCGGGCTACGACGACCTAACCTGCTTGATCGACTTGTCACAACATCACGCCGAGTCCGCCCTCCAAGGCCGAGTGAAGATCTCGACCATGAAGTCGGCCTGCGACGTGACCATTGCCGGGGGTTTCACGGGAGAATATGCATTGCGAGCAACTGGCACAGACGGGGCCGGCGTGGACGGCTACGTCACGCAAGACCCCAACGGCATCACCAACCACATCGACATCGTACCGAGCCGCACAAACCGCTCGCCGCAGGGGATATTCGCGTCCAACGACCGACACCTACGGGTGCTCGACTGCGAAACCAACACCTTCATCACAGACCACGAGCTCTCCCGAGCCATCAATTGCACCGCGACCTCCCATGACGGCCGACTCCGCGTCGTCATCGGCGACTCCCCAGACGCCTGGGTAATCGAAGCCGACACAGGCCGACCCGTGCACCCACTCCGCGGGCACCGCGACTTCGGCTTCGCCTGCGCGTGGTCCCCCGACATGCGGCACATCGCCACAAGCAACCAAGACAAAACCGCCATCATCTGGGACGCGCGCATGTGGCGGGCCCTCGAGAAAATCGAATCCGATGTAGCAGGCTACCGCTCCCTCCGGTTCTCCCCCGTCGGTGGCGGTCCCCGCACCCTCCTCCTCACCGAACCCGCCGACCGCATCGCGATCGTCAACGCCCAGACCTACCAAACCCGCCAAGTCCACGACTTCTTCGGCGAGGTCGGCGGCGCGGATTTCTCCCCCGACGGCTCCACCATCTGGGTAGCCAACACCGACGAGCACTTTGGTGGATTCATGGAGTTCGAGCGGCGACAGTGGGGCCAGCGGTATGGGCAGGGCTGTCGCGAGTTACCGTGTGAGTGGGCGCGCGAGGCGGACCTCGATGATGATGAACGGTGTGTGCTTAGTGAGAGGGAAAGACAGTTGCGGTTTTTGTGGAATTGGAGTGAGGAGGAGTATGAGGGGTTGTTGGTTTAGATTTAACTTTTTTTTTTTTTTTCTTTTCGTGTCTTTCTGTGTTTATCTCTTATTTTCTTCGGTGCTGCGGGCGGTATGTGTTTTATGATACCATTTGTTATTATTATTATTATCTATCTATATATATGAGCAGAACAACACAACATATTTATGGCTCCGCGGGCCTACTTGAGTCGTCCTTACATACCCACTGTATAGTATGTTGGTAGAATTCCATAGCGAGAGCATCCGCACAAGTAACCCCACAGGGGGAATCCCCGGGCCACACTACTTCTACCTCAACTTGACTACCAAGTGTACCCCGGCAAGGGAAGAAAGTGCAGTCCCACCAAGACTAACAAACATCACCATCATCATCGTCGCCACTGTACGTGTACGGAAGTAGTACTCCATATTAGGCACCACAATAATAACCACCCAGTTAGGTAGACAGTCGTCACAGATAGACAAAAACAAGTGGCGGTGCAGCCCCACTTATCGTAGATCTGCCCCTCACTCATTCGATACAAATATAAATACCCCTCATCCTCATCCCGATCCCCAAGGTCGGCAGGTAACAAACAAACACTCACACCAGTAACCAAACCATCAACCCAAGAACCACCAAGAAGAAAAAGAAAGAAAGAAAGAAATCACCCAAAATGGACTTCCTCCACGACGCCATCAAAAAACACACCTCCTCCGGCGGTACCGACAGCGACGACGAATTCAACCCCGCCCTCAACCACGCCCAATCCTCCGACCCCAACGACAGCACCTCCCGTGAACTCTTCTCCCAAGCCCTCCAATTCATCAAGTCCCGCAAATCGTCATACCAGGATACCAGCTCCTACGACATCGACGAGTCGCACATGGTGCAGTCGCATCAGGCGCTTTACGGGGGGAGTGGGGAGAGTGCGAGTTACTATCAGGGCGGTGATATGGGAGAGCAGTATGGTGGATCCCATCACCAGCAGAGTGGAGGACACAATGATTCGGATTCGTTGGGGGCGGGCGCTGCGATGCAGGCGCTGAAGATGTTTACTTCTGGGGGTGGAAGTAGCTCGGAAGGAGGGGGAGGGGGCAGTATGGATAAGAATGCGCTTATTGGGATGGCGATGGCGCAGGCGGGGAAGCTTTGGGAGGAGAAGAATAGTTCTGGGGGAGTGGTATGTTCATCCATTTTCTTTCTTTTTTTTTTTTTCTCCCTTTTTCTTTTGATGTTTTGGGAGGTGAATGCTAATATGTGGGTGTGGATAGTCCGGCGATAAACAATCTGCCGTCAACAAAGCCGCGGAAATGGCGCTCAAGATGTACATGAAGTCTGACGGGGGTGGGCTGGGGGGCACGGGTGGACCTAGTGGGTTGTTGAGCTTGGCGGGGAAGTTTTTGAAGTAGTTTACTATGTACATACTTTTTCTTGGTTTGAATTACTAGGTGATATTTGTGGAAATGGGGGGGTAAAAACGCGTCCGAAAGGATGAAATTGATGATATTCGGAGCTATGGAAATTTCTGCTTGATTGTTTGGAAAGTAAAGATGAGAATCTGTGGGAAAGGGACTCTGCAAACGCTGGTGGTCAGCTGATATGCCAAGCGACTGCAGTCATTTCTACAACATTGTAAGAATGTGGGTGGGAGACCGTAGAGATGGTGTTCCTATGTAATTGGTTGTTTACATTGGTTCTTAGGGGGTGGCGCTTCACAGGGCCGTATGTGAGTGCGTGCTTTGGAGAGATGTTTTATTTGTTCTCTATGACTACGTTTCAGGATTATAGTTAACTATACAAGCGCTTTGAAAGTCCTCTGTAAGTACTTTAGAAGATCTTCCGAGGGTACTTTGAGAAATTTGATATAGTGACTTTCAGCGACTCCATGGCTGATTGTCCATACGCAGGTACACTAGAGGGTTCTATCTGGACACTTGTCGCAATATGAGGTTGCAAGGCTGCTCTCAAAGCGCAAAAGTACTTAGATAATCGTTGAGGCCGAGTGATAAATCCTTCCTACAATACTTTATGCAATCATATATAGATTCTTCCATGAAGCCCTATGCATCTGCTTCAATGGGCTTTATGTGATTGCTTTGGAAGACTAGTACTTCTTGCGGTGGTACAGAATCCTCTATGTGAATACTTCATAGGCTATGTATGAGTACTATAGTGGGTTCTCTGTGTCCTATACGGACGCTTTGCAACTATATACTTATAATATGTAAATAGCTAGCTTGCGTAAGACTGAAATAAGTAATTGCAGCTATTTGATCAAACCGCTGAGAAAAGCGAGGATCTACAGCTGGGAGCTGAAAAGCCTTAGGAGCCGGTTATCAATGCGTATGGTACGGTAGAGTCGGCCTTGCAGGGTGGACAGTGTGATGACTCTTCCTTTTTTGGCGTCAGGTAAATAGGTAGGTGGTCAGTATAGGGCTTGAATGGTTAAGTGTTGGGTAAATGATCCTGTTACTAGTGTCTTTCTGTCTCTGCTCTTTTATGGTCTTGTTGGCTTACTATGTCTTCGTGTTTGCTATTTCATAACCTAGAGACTCATTGGAGAAGGATAGAAAACTCGGTGGCATAGATATTACATTCTTTTATCACTTTCATAATACAGCCTACTCGTACGATATGTATACTTTGAACAATCTATGATCTAACAATGGGTATGCACGATGCCAACTACCAAATACCAACCATCTACACGAAGAAAAAAAAAAGGATAAAAAAGGGAAAAGAGAAGTCAAAAAAATGAAAAAAGAAAGAAAAAAAAGAAACGAAAAGAAAGGTGAAAATCACCAATCATCATCATCATCCCGCTTCCCCTGCATCGCACTCTGTCGCTGTCGCAGCGCCTCCGCCAATCCTCCAGCGAGGGCACTGTTCGGCGTCGCCCGTCCGGATCCGCTCGGTGACTCCTGCGAGTTCATGCTCACTGCGCTGTCGCGTGGGGCGGGTGGGGGCGCTGGGGCCGTCTTGCGGCCCGCCATGTTCGGTCGCTTGGCTGGCGGAGCTGGGGGCGTCGGCTTGGACTTGGCTGCGGCTGCCGTGGCAGCGCCGTTGGTGGACGGCACCGGGCTGGCTCGCGCAACCGGTGGCGGAGGGGGCGGCGTGGGTTTCGGGGTGGGGGCAACTTGCTCTTCGAGGTAGGCCTCTGGCGTCCAACCTTGGGCGGATGTTGTGGGGTTCATGCAGAGCCACCAGCCTGTTCACTATTAGCCTTACCATTGTTTTTCCGCAGTGATTGGAAAGAACATACCGTTGGCTTCCTTCGACATGATCTGCACGATTTCACCGGAGCGGATATCCAGTTCATTGGCCTGGCCGCTGGAAAAGTCGTACAGCACCTTGGCGGTCGCCTTCTTCGGGGCCGGAGGGCTCGCGGGCGGAGGCGGCGGCGGTGCTCTCATAGACCCGGACGAAGGAGTGCGCGCGTGGGACGCAGCGACAGCGGCCACGGGTTGTGGTACTGGTCGGGATGCAGGTGCAGGCGCAGGTCGGGGCGCAGGTGCAGGCGCCGGTCGGGGCGCAGGTGCAGCTTGGGGCGTGGGTTGGGGCATAGGCTGGCGTGCCGGAGCGGGTCGAGACGCCAACTTCGAGGGGCCACCTCCCGGACCGCCCGGACGAAGCAGCTTTCCTTTGGTCACGGGCCGCGCGGCCACTTGTTTCCCTCGGGGAGTGGGCTTAGACACTGAGCTGGGAGGCTCTCCGGCACTCGTGTGGATCGTGTGGCTCTTGTACGTGTCGACTCGCCCGACGTTCGGGTCTTTGACGACCTTCACGACAGCCAGCTTGCCGGGCTTCTTGTTGTATTCGATGTTATCCGAGATCTTCAGGTTCAACTGTCCACGCAAGGCGTTGGTGAGGTGGGTGAAGAACTCGGTCTTGAAAACGCAGTTCAGGAGGGGATCAGGCTCCTGCGCCCCAATCACCAGCGAGAACCAGTCGTCCTTCAAGTTGGATGTGCTGACCGACTTGATAGCCCCGATGGGCACCGTTCGCTCCGAGGAAATCTGCAGCTGGTTGTTGACGATGTTTTGCGCCACAATGTATACATGCCGCGGTGTCTAATCGGTTAGCTGGTGCCAATAACACTTCGACATGGGACCTACCAAAACCAAGATCCGAGGCTCGGGCTTGCTGGATCGTCCGAATTTGGATATCAGAATCTCTCCACGGCAAGAGAAAAGGATAGGCTCCGACCCTGGATCTGTTAGCTCCTGCAGTACACACACCGATCATGCGACATACCGATGCCTGCACCGTTGCGGATCATCTCGCCCGGCCCACCCTTGTTCCCCAGACCCAGATAGTCTCCGAGGAATCGTCGCGAACCGAGGATACTCATTCTCCGGCGCTCCTTGCGCCCCTGGAGCACCTTGTGACCTTGGTCGCGCAGCTTGAGAAGTTCAAGCCCACCGGTCATGCGGCGCCAAAAGCGCTGGATCCGAATGGCACACTCCGTCCGGTAACGGAGGTAGTTGCGCCACGCGCGTTGGATCCGAATGGCCATGCTATGCCAGTACTTGTCACGCATCGCCTCCAGGGCGAACAGCGTCTCCGGCGTCTTGACGAACACTTTGGTAACACCGATCTGGAACTCCTCCGACGGGATTCTGGTATCCTTGAGGATCTGACGAGCTCCAGATTCTGCGTCCCCGGTCCACGTGTAATCGCCCGCATACGACGTCTTGGGAGACAGGAGATAGAACCGCTCCACGAACTTGTCGAAGGTTTGACGGTAGGCGAATCCAGCCCGGCGAATCCGCACGTTCTCCTGCAGACCCAGGTATTTGATCTGGTGCAGAACATTGCCGACATTGAATTCTTTCGGGGCCTTATTGTCATTCGGCTTGATTGTTCGGATATAGGACGGCTGGGCCTTCATTAGGGTTGTCACCAGGTCGTTGGCAGAGGCCTTGATCTTGTCGCTAGCCGTGGGCGGGCGTCTCTTGTCGTCCTGGTTGACCTGGTTGGGGAAGAGCGTACGAATGAACGGGTTGCCACTCGACCCAACAAGGTTCAGTAGATCCTTCAGCAGCTGGTCCTTGTTCTTGTCGGTCATCCCTTCCACGGCGTAGCTGACGTCACCGGCGTAGTGCTTGACGATAAACTGGCCCTGTCGGTTCTCGAAGTTAGGGTTCTGCGACAGGAAGTTCAACCTTCCAACGAACGTGTTGTCCGCGGCGCCCGGGTCCGCGTGGGCGGTCGCGCAGGCGTCGTTGAGGGCAGCGAAAACACCAGGAGGACGCTTGTCCTCAATCAGCGAGCAGACAACCTTGTTGTCAAAGTACTTGATCGGAGTCCACTGGATTTGCTCCCGCGCGTACTCGTCTTGTTCAGCCTTAAGCGTCAACTGGATGAAGATCTGCTGCAGCTTCTCATTGACATAGTTGATGCACAGCTGCTCGAAAGAGTTTTTCTCGAAAATCTCGAACCCGTAGATATCCAAGATACCAATCGAGTTGGCGACCGGTTCTCGGGCAGTCAAGGATTGATTGACACGGGCCACGATCCAGTCAAACAGGTTGAAATAGATCGCCTTGGACAAAGCATCCCGCACGGCCAGCGCCTGCGCCGGGTTCAACGGCACCTCATAGATCGAGCCTCTGCGCCCTCCGCGGGCAGTTTCCATAACACGTATCGTAAGCGCCTTGTTGACCTGTTCGGCATCGACCTCGAGAAGGTAGGCGACGAAGTTGACGACAGACTGGTCGGTAATCACCGTATTGCCCGAGTCGTCTTCCCGGAATTGTACATTTCCAATCCACAGAATCGCGGCCAGCATGCGGAAAACATCATCCTGCTCGGCTTCCGTCATGCCGATAACTCCCATCGCATTCAACGTGTCTCTGAAATCGGCGCCATCGTCAACGCCGGCGACGTCGAAACATTTCGATCGGCTGGTGTAGAGGTACGCATCGGGCGTTTGAAGACCGAACATGTCTGTTTGGTCAGCTTGCGAGCTCACCGGAGGGTAAAACACAACCTACCTCGATACTTCTGAGGCGCAGCCTTCGCGAACTGGTAGAAGATGTGAAAGTTCCGTTCGTTTGTGATCTGCCCCACCACTCTCGATTTCTCCAGCAGATAGTTGGTGATGTGAGCACCCACCGGCTCGCCGTTCGCGTTGAACTCCAATTCCAGGTATTTCCCGAAACGAGACGAGTTGTTGTTGCGCAGCGTCTTCGCATTACCAAACGACTCGAGCAATGGGTTGGTGGCCAACACCATGTCCTTGGTCATTTGGATGGACGAATCGCTGCCTCCCGACACACTGGCAATGTACTGCATGATGCGCTTCGCGGCCTCTGTCTTTCCCGCTCCCGACTCTCCCGAAATGATGACACACTGGTTATCTTTGTAGGACTTCATGTTGTAGTAGGCGGATTCGGCGACCGCGAAGACGTGGGGCGGGACTTCGAGTCGGTTTTTTCCCTGGTAGGATTCGAGGACGCGGTCGGTATAGATACCCACTGGAGTCTGTTAGTCTCGCCGCGACTCAATCACCCGTGCGATTGGGAGATACTTACAGTCTCGGAACGGGTTAACAGACACCAGCACATGTCCAATATACGTCTGTGGCGCGCATTCAATTAGTTGTGTTCCGGTTGCGCGAACCCCGCGTACTCACGTAGATCTCGTCATGCTCGAATCGCAACTTCAGGTTATCGTTGATGGCCTCGTTCGAAATCTTGCTGAGCAGCGTAAGATCCGACACACCAATCTCCTTCTTCTTCGTGGTCTCGAAGACAGCCTTCCTGACCTGGGGCTTTCCCCCGCCTTGTCGACCGTCGCCCACATCAGCGACTGCCTTGGAGCGACCGAATCGGCTCTTCTTCTCCCCACCACCTACTGGACGACGTGAGTGTCCCTAGGCCAACAGGGTTAGTCAAACTCTCCTCCCGTTCAACCCTCAATATCCAGAAAGTCCATTCTCACCATGGTTGTTGTTGCCGACTTCCCCGGATTGCGCGTCTAGGCGACAGGATATCTGACCTATGTCGTGTGTGTGGGGGGGTTATAGTTTAGGGAGAGGGAATGAACGAGAGAAATAAACCGCTCATTCAAAGAAACGCCCGAAATGAAAAGAAATCAAATCGCAGACCACCGCACGATATCAAAAACGAGCGGAATGGAGGAAATGGAGGGGGAATCGTAAGGAGGAGAAAGAGGAGAAAGGAAGAATGACGACGGAGAGGAGTGGACAACCTAAGAGACCAGGCCAAAACGGACAGATAGTAGGGAGACTACGGTGGACCGGCTAATCAGGTCCCGCCGAGGGGGCCTGCGCCACACACGTGTGGCTCCGTTGGGCCCTTTTTTCTCAGGCGCAACGCGCAATCTGCTGCCCAGATTACTAAGCTTTGCCTCCAGGGGCAAATAAACAGTTATATTAGTATAAAGCATTGTTTTTGGAATTCATTCGAGGAGATTTCACAACTGTGTTATATTGTAGGCATCCAAATCAACTCTTACAGTGGCATGTCTCTCATGTTCTAGTCATCATTCATTCTTTAGTGGCATCTGACGAAGACAAAGGGCATTCAGGGATGAACCCCAAGTCGGTGCTATAATTAGCGGGTATCAGGCACCCGCCAGGCACTAATTTGGTCCTTGGGGCCCGAAAAGCATCCCGCCTACGTCATGCCCGCTTTTCATCCTCCACGCTCCCGTTCACTAGAGACGATCAATGGATGGCCTCGTGGATAATGTCTTGGACCTTTGTTCAATGGGAGTAGCTAGCCGCTGTAGTATCACATTGTGTCAATTACTGTGGAGAAGCTCCCTGGTCAATGCTCACAACTGTGTGCGCCCTGTGGCGCTTAAAATATATATGTGATAGCGTGTGGCACGTAATTTGATCCTTTTGAAACCCCCATTGCTGTATACCCCAACTGAGAAAAAAAATGACATAACAAGTAGACACTCAGAAATAGCAAGATTACTCATAATTGGTATCTCTTATCCAGAACCGGACTATTTCCCGCGCGCGCTCCCCCCCAAGATAATCCTGCAAAAGTGCTTGGCCTTGAGTCGTCCGAGCGGCTAGGCCCAAGGCCTCCAGCGAAGGAAACAGGTCACTGAGGATGTTCTTTTCGTAGAGAGATAGACTGCGCTGTAGAGGAGCATGAGACAGCAAAGATAAGCAGTCCGTGGCCGATGCAATTGGAGGTGGAATGCGTGTAAGATTTCGCATATACTCTTGCATGCAAGGCAAGAGAGACGAGCAAGCTGCCACAGGAAATATGGGCATCGATGTTGGTAGTGATTGGATAATCCTGATCTGCCATCAGCCATACGGCATGGAACTAGCTAGATACGTACTGACATGACCTGGAGACCCAACAGTGCGTCTAGGGAACCTTTTCCGCTGGCGTTTCTGAACGGTTCGTCGGATAGAAGGAGGGCAATTGCGGTGTTTGATTGACTGCTGTGCAATCGGACGAGTCTGGAGATGGTGTCTTGCTTGTTGGTGAATTCAAGGGAGATCGGCGTGAGTAGGACAAGATCTAGAGGCTCTGGACTGGATTCTAGACGGACGGTGAAGTCACAACCATGGAGTTGACGCTCTACCACGCCGTGGTTGGCCCAAATACATTGATCAAGGTACATGACTGACCTTCCAGTTTCGTTCCTGGCAACGTGAGGAGTGGCCCTATCATCTTCCACAAGGGTCGATCGCGGAGGGAGGAGCAGAATGCCCCCTGTAAGATGCAGCTGGCTGTATTTTCCATGTCCTGCTTGAATGGAACAGTTATGTGACGCGGTAAATATTTTTGAAAGTTTGGTAGTATTTCTAAATGGGAGAGGAGAGGTAACGCAATAGCCCCGTCGAACAGACAGCCTCAGTCATCCAACACCGTCTGCTGACTTTCCCATCCTGCAATATAAGGGTATCCAACACGCAACACAACAATGCAAGTATTTACACTACATTTCCTTCAATCTCTATGCAGATGACAAGTCAAGGGATAGATCATGTCACGCCTTCTTAGACTCCGGAGCCAGTTCACGACTCGTGGAAGCTGGCACCGGTGAACTGACGGAGGGTCCACTGTTACTGGATCCCCCAGGCTGATTTGAAGCAGCCCTTTTGCTCCCTTGAATGACAGCATCTGCTTGTTGCTCGGCAGTCTCACCATACGAGAAATATGACGCGGCCCACGATAGCCACCCTTGCTGAGGAGCTTCCTTCTGTCCTTCCTCTTCAATCTCCCACGCATCCCGAGGCAGGATGCGGGCCGAAGTCTTCGACAGCTCTCCAGACTTGGCCTTCTGCTGCAAAAGTTCCTTCTCCAGAGCAGCCAGACCCCGTCGAGCAGCCTTCTCCGACTCCTCAAGCTCGATCAATCGAGACTCAACATCTTCCCTCCTAGTATTTTCCTTCCTCCGAGATCTCAACGACTCAAAGACGATCAATCCGCCAGCCACCATGAACAAAAACGCTTCACTGATGAAGTTGGCCCCGGACTCGATGGCTTTGGATTCAGACAGTGGACGAATGTGGGGTTTGGGAGCCGGTTTCGCAGCCTCCTCCGCCGCCGCTTTCGCTTTCGCAAGTGCCGCTTCTTCCGCCTTGGTTTCTACTTCCGATTTGACCGTGGGTGTAGTCGGTTTGTGTTTTCGAGCTTCCGCCTCGGCAGCCGCTCGCCTTTGGGCGGCGCTGGTGTCCCGCACGGCCCCTAAACGAAGGCGCATGTCGAACCGGTGCAGAGCCTGCGCCATGGCGACGCACATATTGCGAAACCGTTCATGTTCGCGAGCCTGTCCTTTTATTTGATTCTGGCGGGTGTCAGTCAGCACAGACAACCGGTAGGACAATAAAGGATAGACGTACGGCAATCGGCTTGGATAATGTGCGGATCGCGAGAGACGAGAGCTTGAGCGTAAGAGACATGGTGGCATCCACTGAGAAGCATGACAAGGGAAAGGACAAGAAGTCAAGCTGACGGGGAATTAAGGATCGCCTTCATTAGTCAATCAAACCGCTGACGATCCTGCGTCATGCCGCGGCATTAATGGCACAAAGCCCGCATTTATGCATGCTGACATCAGCAATGCCCGTTGTCAGGCGGTTGGCCGGGTCATTGTTTATCGATTGCCGCATCGGGCAATTCGTTTGGAGAATTTCGGCCCTGTTATTTCTCTCCCTCTCTACTGACTATTACTCTCGTTGGATCTCTCTTGCTTGCTTCAAAACGCCCCTCTCTACTCCCCCCACCACGTTAAACCTCCTATAGAGGTCATTCTGGTCGGTGCGGCGTTGGATGCATATTCATTGTTTTTAAGCGTCATTGTTTAATATAGTAATCCATTATCATCTGTGTTGCTTTTCATTTGGTAAGTGTCTCCGTGGAACCGAATTTTCCCCCTCGACATCCCGGTTCCGCTTTGTCTACTTCCCCCTAACATGCGACTTGGACTGGATGCATATGATAGTCTGCCAAAGCATGATGCTATTGTGTCGCGTTTCAATCATGCTGATCGCCAGCAGCCCCTGCACAGCAATATACCCCTCTGCGCAATTGTATTTGACCGCCTGTATTCCCTAATCGATGTCCCCGACGACCGTCCTTGCTTAATGCAAACTGTGTTGCTGCAACAATATCCCACACGCTGATTGAGATCTTCGCCCAACGCTCCCTCACACAAAATGGAGGCTCTATCACCGCGATCAACGAATCAAATGCTCAAACCGAAAGTCCCGATGGAACGAAAAGTGTTGGATCGCAACGCCGCCGCCGCGAGCGCCGCCCAGAAGGCCGCTTCGTCCAAAAACCATGCGCCGCCCCCGCCGCCGATTGTTTCCGAACCGTCGGAAGATGGAGAGCGATATAGGACCGGCAATTTTCTGGGGAAAGGAGGATTCGCGGTCTGTTATGAAGGCACGTTGCAGCGCAATGGTCGCGTGTTCGCCATGAAGGTCGTTAGATCGGAGATGACTCAGAAAAAGATGCAAGAAAAGGTACCCAACCCTTGCGCTCATCGCCAGCATGCTTGGTTATTGACCCAGTCCTGCAGTTCCGTACCGAGCTTCAGATCCATTCGAAAATGCGACACTCGCACATCGTGACCTTCCACCGTGCCTTCGCGTTCGACAAGTGCATATACGTCGTCCTAGAACTCTGCCCGAACGGATCCGTGATGGACATGGTAAAGAAAAGGAAGTCTTTGAGCTTGCCGGAGGTGAGACGGTTCATGATCCAGCTTTGTGGAGCCGTCAAGTATTTGCATAAACGGAACGTCGCGCATCGGGATCTCAAAATGGGAAATCTATTCCTGGATAAGAACTTGGACATCAAAGTAGGGGATTTTGGGCTGGCTGCGATGATCATGTCAGAGAAGGATGAAAAGCGGAGGAGGACACTGTGCGGCACTCCGAATTATATTGCGCCAGAGGTTTTGGATAAGAGCAAAGGTGGACATACTCAGAAGGTGGACATTTGGTCCTTGGGTGTAATATGGTAAGCCCCAAGCGCAGCCTCGCCGCGCAACGAAGAATACTGACCAGCAACTAGCTTTGCTATGCTCACCGGCTACCCACCATTTCAGTCCAAAACACAGGAAGAAATTTATAAGAAAGTGCGGAATTTGTCATACGTATGGCCCAAAGGATCAGAATGCTCGAACCACATACCACAGGAAGCGATGTCCCTGGTGAGTGCGTGTTTGAATCTATCTGAGGATGAGCGACCAGACCCCGACGACATTGTTGAACACCCGTTCTTCAACATGTACGATGGATGCATCCCCCGCCGACTGGATCCAGTGTGCTGCTCATCCCAACCAGCCTGGCTGAAGAACGAAGAGCCTCGAGGAGATCGCATGGTGCTAGGCCATAGTTTGGAGTACGACGAAAAGCTCGCCGAGTATATAGACGACGTTGATGACTATACGCAGCGATATTACATATGCAAGGCCGCGTTCTACAGTCTCTGCGGTGTGGGGAGGAAGCCCGACGGTACCGCCCGCAAGTCAACGGGGAAGAACTGCTCCAAATCTGCATGGGCTGAATGCCTGTCCGAGGAAGAGAAAGGACTCCAGCCGGTCATTCCACTACCCGAGGATATTGTCTATAGACACCCATATGATCTAGATGGAGATTGGAGTGCACCTGAAGCAGCATTGATTGGGCGGAAGGTTACATCGTCGTTTGATGCGAGCTTACTATCAACAAAAAGCAGTGCATCCGGTCCCGGTGTGTCTACCTCGCGGACACAAGCGGCTCTGGTCGCCGCCCAACAGCGACGCAAGGAATCACAGAGTCACGCAGCCACGCTTCGACAACAGGCTACCGGGAGAACTACCGTACGAAAGATCGCATCTATTTGCGACCCTCCACCATCCGCACGTCCCATGTCTAATATGCAGGGAATGGATCCGGATGGTCTCCCCGTACCGAGTGGAGGGTTGGCGGACCGGCCATTGCGCCCCAGACGTGGTGTGGCTGCTTCATACTCAGGGTCACTTCGTGGTCTGGAAAGACTTCAGCCGTCCCAATCTCTATCGAACGTGCCATCGGAGACACCAGCGTTCGGAAAAACGCGCTCTCAATCCCGGAGATTGGAAGTCGCAAGCCAAGAGATTAACCGTCCTCTACCTACTGTCAAAGAGAGGTCCACATCTGCGACATTAGGAGAGATGACCACCAAATCCTGGCAAACCTCATCACGACCAGCCCCAGAACCGCAGAAATTCGATATGCCTATTGCACCCGCGCCCAAGGCCGAGAGTCGACCACCGATAGAATCCGAGCCTACCAAGGATACTCGCGCACGCCCTGAGGCACCCCAGCCGATGAGCCGCTCCGGCAGCAAGACATCCGTGGCTAGCAACAAAGCACGATCATCCCTGGGCGTACATCCGCTTTTCCATTCCCACGACCCGTACGAATTTGTGCCGCGGACGTCACAGGATGATGTAAGCGCAGATTTGCGACACATGCTGGCCAACATGGTACCGTACTCGCCGGCTCGCCGACGCGTCGCATCTCGGAGGGCACCGCACGCCTATGTCATCAAGTGGGTTGACTATACAAACCGGTATGGAATCGGCTACGTACTTGATGACGGCAGCGTCGGCTGTGTCTTCAAGGCGGAGAACGGTCAGCCCGCGAGCGGTGTTGTTCTGCGGGAAGGGGAGAAGCACATCCGCCGCAAGGCCCGGAGCCACGACAAGCAGAGGGAGAAACCGTTTTCTTACTCGGAGGCTGACCAGCTCGTACCGCGAAATGGAAAGCTCGTCGAGTTCTACGAGAACTGCGACAACTCCCCCGAGTGTCGGGGTGGTCTTCGACGGGCACTGATCTCTCCGTCGCTTTTCGAGGTGAAGAGTGCGTCCGGTAGCGCCTCCGCTGGGATCAAGGTACGGTCTAATTCTGGAATTGACTGTGCACGGGCGGACGCGGAGAAGATCAAGCGCGTCAAGCTGGTTGACCAGTTTGGCAAATACATGATTGGATCGCTGGGGCGCCATGACGATGAGACACTCCTGGAGGACGACTTGGCGACCGATAACGACGGCCAGTTCATCAAGTTCTACCAGCGTCTGGGAAATGTGGGCGTATGGGGGTTCGGGGATGGTGCTTTTCAGGTTTGTACCCTGTTTTCCTTTTACTGTTTTCGACTCGATTCTAATGCTGTATAGTTCAACTTTCCCGACCATACCAAGCTCGTTATTTCACCAGGCCGAACTAGGAGCTCATCGCCCTGGATCGACTTCTACCACCTTTCACCATCTGCCGCGCGCTACCTAACATCCAAAGGGAAGATGCACCCCTCTGGATTCGACACGCGCGCCGTCGCATCAGACGAAGTGGGAACCTTCCTCAGCATAGCCTACGGAACCGTATCCAGCCCAATGGACGACCGAATCCGGGAAGTGCTCGAGGCCAACTCATTCCTCCAAAAGATCGTCTTCATCAAGGACGTGGCAAAGGGATGGATCAAGCAAGGCCGGCTAGGCGGACAACCCGCCAAGCCAGCGGACCTTGGCAGTAGTATCTCCTCAAAGCCATCCGAAGTATTCTGGGAGGGCGCCCAAGAGCGACCCCACTCCGGAGGAAGCGGGGGCAAATTCGTCTGGGTGACGGTGGGAGCCCCCGGCGGAGATGGCGATTACCGGTCCGTCTCGCTCAAGGAGAAACGAGCAGAGATGGAGCACGATCGGGAGATGGAGGCGTTGAAGGAACGCTTGAGGTTTCTGGGGGCGCCGTCCTAGGAACTGTACATTTGGCATTTGGCTTACGACGATATGACGATTCTACTATTTCTCTTAATTTCTTCTTCTTCTTTTCTTTTCTTTTCTTTTCTTTCTTTCTTTTTTTTTTTTTGTTTCTGTAATTTCCGAGCTGTTACACGCTCGGACGACGCCCCCGCCACCACCGGCATTAAGACAGATAACGCAAGCAAAATACCACCTTTGATTGAAATCCTCTCATTCATCGTCTATCCATCTGTCTGTCTATCACCTTGATTAAATCAAACATACCCGCATACACGAAAAAAGCAGGGGTATTGAGAGGAGGGAGATGGGGAATGGAAGACGAGGGGACGAGCTCTGCATATTAGAGTTCAAGACCCTGACCGGAAAGCCGAGCCGCCTCGTGTTTGTGCCTGCCCTCGAATGGGATGTCTCATTTGGCTCGAACGAGTAGAAATTGAAGGTATCCCCCGCTCGGTGTAAACGTGGCTGGCCACTAGTCTTGTTGTGGGCGGCATATCTCGTATTCAAGATGGTTGGTCTGGGCCCCAGGATGTTGTTGGTTGGTGAAAAACCACTGCATTGGGGCCTGCCTGTGTATATATAGATAGGTTTTTTTTATCTCCCCCGTTTGGCGGCTGAAAATTTGTTGTGCTTGTAATATTTATCGTCTGTCTCAGTCCCAGTCCAGTCCCTCGTTCAGTCTGTCGTTAACTATTGTTGATTGACATCCGGCCTGCTGCTACTTAATATAATCTCTATATAATTGCTATACCACCCTCTTCCTCTCGCTCAGCTATCCCCAAACAAACTCGAAAAGAAGGAAAACATGTTCGCCTCCGTCCTCTTCGGCTCGCTCCTCGCCAGCCAGGCCCTCGCCACGGGCGTGGGCTTCAAACAAGTCAACGAGATGGGCCTCAGCAAGCGCCAGACCGACGAGTCGTTCGTCCCCGGAACAACCTTCGGGTGTCCCAGCGGATGGCCTGAATGCGGGACTAGCCAGGTCTGCTATAACCCTAAGCGCGGGGATACCTGCTGTCCCGGCGGGACTTGTATGTCTTCTTTTTCATTCCTGATATCCCAGTGGAAGAGTGAGTGAGTAGAGAGTCAAGTGGCTAATGGAACGTGATGTTTAGATGCCTGCCCGGGAGGCTCTTTCTGTCTGCAGGATGGGTACTGCTGTCCCGATGTAAGTATCCCGCCCCTCCCTCCAACTTCATGGGAATCAAAGATACTGATAACAAGTGTAGGGCCTCGACCGCGAGTCGTGCGCCAAAAAGTTCGGCGTCACCCTGAAGCCCACGACGACCGCTGAGCCCACGACTACCTCCAAGCCGACCCCGACGGATGACACCACGACCACGACGTCCACGACCTCCTCGAAGGCTGTCATCCCGACGACGACTACCACTTCGGCCGGCTCTAGCTCTTCTTCGACTGTGCCTCCTCCGCCGAGCTCGGCTGGCCCGTTCAGCCCGCCGCTTTTCACAGCCGGCGCGAATGCCCTTGCTGGCGCTAAGGCGGCGGTTGTTATTGGGGCTGTTGGTGGGCTGTTGGCTATTTAGGTAGCTCTTTTTGGGGACTGGTTGGCTGGTGGACTCACTTGTTGATGGGTTGATGTGATTCAGTAGTATTGTTGGGTTCGTTGGGTGCCGACTCTGAATTGTTGTTGTTGAATTATTATAATTTTTGCTTATATTTCGCGTGTCGCGTGTCGTCATAATATTCAGTTGGTGAGTGGGGAGAATGTATAGTCTTTGCTTCTCTGAGAATCAGCTGCATTAGATCGAGCTCGTGGGTGGATTGCCCGATTGGGAATATGTACAGTGTAGGCGCTCCATTCTACCTGTCGATCGCGACCGAACTGCTGGTTCTTGCCGTGTGCCGAGCTGGGTCAGCTCGGATGGACCCCTGCCGACAGTGGAGGGCGTGAATTTCATGATACAATTCGATTTGTGTTCTTCAATCAGTTCATGAATATCAGGTGAGGAAAACCCAGGGAGGATGGAAATTTCTCCACCGACACTGCCGAATGAGATTGTCAGTCATGTATCGATCACTGTCATGGCGACTAGTACGTAAGTAGTAAGTTGCCTGGTAATCTCTGATGAGGAAAGGATTGTAGGACTGATCGATGGCTTTCGATCTTGAGAGCTCAGAAGTAGGAATGGCCAAGACACATTGATCCAGATAGATTGCACAATCTAGTCATAATTATCGCAAGAAGAACTCAAACCTCGACTCGGAGCCTTGAGGCAATGGGACCATCGCCAACAAATGACTGTAGATTGATGACCAGAAATTAAATTGTGGACAGAGAGAGTCGAGCTTCATCTCCATCCGCTCGCTTCAGTTCTTCAGACAGGAAAGGACAAAGAAGAAAGGGAATAGGGGATATCTGGGTTGAAGAGAGTCCCACACTTCGCCTGGATCCACCACTGACATCCCCCGATCGGTGGTTCGTGGTCTCTCCCCAGCTCCACAATGCGCTGATCCCAGGCCAATCGAGATCGCAATAATTATATCCTCCCGTCGTACAGCCGCGTGCTCTGCATGCACGCTGCCAGGTCGAAGTGTATCTCCAGCAATACTTTGTACGACGAAATGTCTCCCGTCTCATAGACGCAATGATTGGGAGAAGGTAAACATGGAGTATGCCCAACGTGGTCACTGACTTGGCCCGAGGCTGTTTGTTTTCATGATCGATCGAGATTGTCGCGTGGAATGCATTTGCCGATGTTAATGGTTCCAAATAATCCACTCTCCTGTCTCCACTGGCGACACCAAATGTGGTTGGACAGTCCGCTGCTCTGTGCGGTTCGTCCTCGGGCCATCCATTTTCGACCACTGACAGGTTCCGTGCGGCACTACCGCAAAACCTACCAGCGATTGACCTTTTAGACTCGGGTGAGGGTACCGTGAATGGCATGTCTCGAGCGATATTGGATTATAACTGGCTGTGGGCTCTGGTGTTTCATCTCCCGGCAGCTCGGGCGAGCTGACCTTCCCTCCACGGTCCATTTGACCCTGACACGCGAAAAAGAAAAAACTCAGGCCTAGATGGGGAAAACAGGATCTACTGAGGTTTTCTTGCGTATTCGTGTTTGGGTCGGACGGTGGGCCGGACTGGCACATATAGGGAGGATCGCCCTTGGATGTTGCACACTTCCACTTGTACTCTTCAATCCTCTATATTTGTCCACTGGCTCAATACTCTCGTCATCTCCTTCCCTCCCTTCTCCGGTCTATTCCCCCATATCTGCCATGGCTGAATACCCAACCCGCCGTAGCCTAGCGAGACGGCTGCTGTCCGCCTTGCTGGACCATCATGACTCGGTCCTGCCAACCACACACCCGCCGCCCCCCCCTGAAGTTCCCCCAATGCTGCAGATGAACAATGAGTCCTGCGACTCCCGACCAAAACGCTTGACGATTGCGCGCACAGACCAGAGCACCTTGATCCCACCCCAGGACAAACTGCTGATGTTCCGCGCGCTGATGGGCATCGAGAACGTCCCAGCCCTGACCACATTGCACCACTACCAGCGCACCATCCAGAACGTGGGCATCTACACGCGGGTAGTGAACGCCGAAGAGTCCGCCGCCCAACGCTATCGTCTATTTTCCATTCTGATCAACACATGCCTGGGCATCCAAATTGTAGTGGCAGCCGCCCTGACGGCGCTAGGAGCGGCCGCAGGCCCACATTCAGCAGTCACGACCTTCGGTGCGATCAACACAATCGTGGCCGGCGTGCTGACCTACCTCAAAGGTTCAGGGCTACCAGACCGGCTCAAGCACTACCAGAACGAGTGGGGGAACATTCGTGAGTATATTGAGCAGCGCGAGCGCGAACTCTGTCTGGACGGATGCATTTTGAACGTCCATGAAGAGATACTGTTCATCGAGCATCTGTACGAGGGCGTTAAGCGGGAGATTGAATCGACGAAGAGCGGGGGAGAGAATCGTTCGACGGCGCAGGACAGACACACACAACGATCGTTTCTCCCGCCACAGCAGCGACAGCAGGAGCAGCAGCAGCAGCCGCAAACACTTGGTCCCAACGGCCAGGTGACTGCTCCGGAATCGGCGCTGGGAAAGGAGAAGAGCTGACTGGGGTGGCATGGTTTGGAGCTTTCTTCCTTGTCGTTTGGTGCCCGTTGTATACGGTATATGCATTGCATAATGCATCTGTTTTCATGTCAGATTGCAGAGCTTCACTTTAGAAGCTGTCGACAAAAGCCGTGTTCCCCCATCTTGTCTGCATATATGTATATATTTAATATTAATATACTAAAAAATCCTGATAGTATATACAGCAAGTATACTTCTAGCGCCAATTAATCGCAATAATAAGTACACACAGAGATAGGTGACCGGAGAAATAGTATAGTAGGATCGTCCGATTTCTTTCCGAATTCTCCACCCCCACTCCGACTTTATCGGTCGAATGCAACCATCATATTCATCACTTGAACACTCTCTCTACACATTTATCCAAGTATGATTATATCTTCTATCTGTTGTTGATTCTAGATCGAGTGTCCTTATCCATTGGATATCTACAACACAGCCTGTCTACAGACCTCACCTCCCATTCACTAATCCTCCAACCCATCCCCCAACCCGATCCCCAACCCCGATAATCAACCCACCAACCAAAAATAAACCATAGTTATATACAAACCAACCTATAGATTCAACATGACAGAAATTCACATCCACCCCGCAACCGAACCCGACGCCACCACCCTAGCCACAATCTTCACAACAAGCTTCACCACCGACCTCGACCTCGCCATGTTCCCGCCCACCCCCGCCGTCCACACCTGGTGGACCCGCGTTTTCACAGCCGACATCACACGCACCCCCAGCACACGAGTCTTCAAGGCCGTCGACGACGCCACGGGCGAGGTAGCCGGGTACGCCGTGTGGGCGCTACCGGGGTGCGCGCACGCGGGGGATGACGAGATGCCGCCGTTCCCGGCTGAGTGTGATGCGGGACTGTGCGAGAGGTTTTTTGGCGCGATGGATGAGATGATGGATGTTGTGATGGGTGGAGTGGAGGGGTTTTATTGTTTGTCTTTCTTTTCCTTCTTTCCTTCCCTATTCTCGCATCCTTTCTTTTCTGTTTTTGTTCTTGTTTTGATACTATACTGACTGGGGTTTTAGATTTGAAAATGCTGGCTACGCGGCCGGAGTACCGTGGACAGGGGATAGCGTCGCGGCTGCTGCGGTGGGGTATGGAGAGGGCAGAGGAAGAGAAGGTGCCTGTGTTTTTGAGCAGTTCGCCTGCTGGGAAGAGCGTGTATGAGCGGGCGGGGTTTGAGGAGAAGGCGATGAAGGTGCTTGATGGGGGGTATCAGCAGAGGTATTTTGTTTGGAGGCCGGATGGGTGTTGAGTGTCTATACATATATGTATGCTTATTATACGGTAGGAAAATGACGTTGATTTCGCTAGATGCTTTGTATATTATACTTTGGTATAGCCTTTGAAACAATCCCATTGTAGGTTTTGATTGTTGTCCCCGATGCAGATCTGGTCTGGTTGGCGGGTTGACGCAGGATGCATCATGCATGTCGCTATCTCTGATATACCAGATTCATAACACGCGAGACTATCATTACGAACGATCAGAGTTAATTATAAGAAGTCTTGCGCTGATTCCGTGACTAATTGCGCGATGAGATCGGAGGCAGATATAGAGACTAGTAGCCTCGGCTTAATAATGCGGAGAAAAAATCACTGATAAGAAGCGCGAGAAGCCCCACGTTCGCGATTTTCCTCGTCCCTCTCTGAAACTGACAATATAGAAAGGCACAGAACAATTCTCCGAACATACCATAGCACTATCACAACCATGGGTGACGCAGCGATGCCAAGAGAACACATCCTGATCGCCTACTTTGAGCCCCTCCCGCCGGGCCTGGAAGAGGCCATCAAGGCCAAATTTCCCAATGTCGATATCACGACGGTCATATTACCGCGAGGCGTAGACGTCCCAAGTGGTAAGCCATTTCTCACGATCCCACGAACAGCAACTGATAAAGAACCAGACGTCATCCAACACGCAACCATCCTCGTCACCTTCACAAACCTCCCGCGCCCCGAAGACGCCCACAAGTACGCCTCCACCACACCCCCCCTCTCCAACCAAACAATCCAACACTAACATCAAACAAAGCATCAAACTATTCCACTTCTTCTCCGCCGGCATCGACCACCTCGTCCATCACCCCACCCTCCAAGACCCCCGAAACCGCGCCACCACCAGCTCCGGCATCCACGGCCCCCCAATCGCCGAATGGACCCTCATGAACTGGCTCATCTCCTCCCGCAAATTCATCACCACCTACGAGAACCAAAAGAAGCACCACTGGGACAGCATCACCTCCTACATGAACGGCATGCACGACCAAGTCGGCAAAGCAGTCGGCATCCTCGGCTACGGCAGCATCGGGCGACAGATCGGGCGCGCCGCCTCCGCGCTCGGCATGCGCGTGTACGCCTTCACCGCGTCGCCGCGCCTCACGCCAGACTCCAAACGCGACAGGGGGTACATCGTGCCCGGGACGGGCGACGCTGACGGCGCGATCCCCGTATCGTGGCACCACGGGATGGATAGGGAGTCGGTCCGCGCGTTCCTGAGCCTGGGCCTCGACCATCTCGTCGTGTCGCTGCCGTTGACGCCGCAGACGACGCATCTGCTGGGCGAGGAGGAGTTCCGTATCTTGTCCGATGCTGTGTCGCCGCAGCGGCCGAGGCCGTTTGTCACCAATATCTCCCGCGGGAAGGTCTTCGATCAGGATGCGTTGATCGCGGCGCTGACGACGGGTGTGTTGGGTGGTGCGGCGCTCGATGTCGCCGATCCGGAACCCCTGCCGGCTGATCATCCGCTGTGGGAGGCGCCCAACTGCCACATCAGTCCGCATGTGAGCTCCCTGGGGAAGGAGTACTTCCCGCGGTCGCTTGACGTGCTGAAAGAGAATCTGGGACGAATGGAGAGGGGCGAGGAGCTGGTGAATGAGTATAAGAGAGGAAAGGCCTATTAATCGCTGACTCACGACACACATCACGAACGCCCCTTATTATATACTAGTATATATTTTTTTCGTTACTTTTGAGTACATACATACCGCGGACATGGTTGGAACAATATCATTTTGGTGATCAAGATCAAGATTGAGATCAAGACATGACCCATCCCCGGACGCTCTCCTCAATGACAACTCCGGCCACTCCGCAGCCGAGCACGACCCACGACCACGGGTTCGAGATCTCGCTCAGCGCGGGCCAGAACCGGTTCTTCTCCTGCCGCCACGCTTGCAGCTGCTCGTACTTCTCCTTGTCATACTTGGTGTATCGCTCCTCCTGTCCGGTCTCGTTCTCCTTGTCGCCGCCAAACAAGCGGAGGAACAGGTAATTGGCCACGGGGCCAAGGAGCACCACGGGGTTGAGACCGTTGGCGATGTTAAGCAGTGCGAATGAAGCGTGGACGAGGGCATCACCCAGATAACTTACACAAGTCAGCACATCCCCAAACAAACAACGAGACAAAGAAAGGAAGGAAGGAGGAAACATACTTAGGGTGCCTCACAACACTCCACACCCCCTCGCGACACAAATCCCCCCTCTTATGCTTATACAGCCCCAACTGCAAATCCGCCAACGCCTCCAACGCAAACCCAACCCCAAAGACAGCCACCCCAAGCGTCCTCGCCACACCCGCAACATCGACCCCACCGCAGCAGCGGCTCAAATCCAGCACGCCCTGCCCCGGCAGCCGGAACGGCACCGTAAACGGCAGCGAGATGATCGTCAACGCAGCCGCCTCAGGCAAGAACACCTTCCAGAGCGCGTTGTCCCAAAAGCCAGGATCCTGCTTCTTCATCTCCTCGTAGCGGGCATCGTCCTTTCCGCGCTCGACGGACCGCGCAGCGATGTGGTACAGCAGGCGCGAGCCCCACGCGGTGACGCAGCCCAGAAGCACCTTCTGCGACCAGGGGATGCCGCGCCAGGTGGTGCATAGCGAGGGCGAAGCGCGGGTGATGTTGTGGCGGTGGGAGAAGATCGGTTGGCCGAGGGCGGCCCACCAGGCGTTGAGGACCTGTGTCGCGGGCCAGGCGCAGTCTTTGAGGTCGGCTCTGTTGGCGGTGCGTGCGGCGACGTAGGTTGCGACTGAGATGGCTGTGTTGAGCGTGAAGGAGGGGAGGATGGTCGATTTGACGAGACCGATGTCGCTGAGGTTGCTACCGCTGCTACTGCTGGGGACGCCTGGCCTGTATGATGTTGCCGTGTCTTTGCCTCCTTTTGAGTAATCGTGGAGGGAGTGGCTTAGTTCGCCTAGCGGCGTTGGGCTGGCGCTGTATATCTCCATGTTTCTGGGTTGCCTTTGCCCTTGTCTCACATGGTATTGGGAAAGTTGAGCAGGGTTTGGATGCGGGCTTTGTAGTAATGTGAGATAAGTCTGGAGCTGGAAAAGGTTGATGTCACTGTTATGTAAGGCGGTTGGCTCCATGTGACGGTGATATCTTCCCGATTAGGAAATCCAGGGTCCGGATGCGAAGGTTGATTGAGGTGCGGAGCATGTCATGACATCATCATTGGCGATACTAGCTATATTGAGATAAGGTACAAAGTAGTCTACTCATGGGAAATCTTCAAGTAAGCATTGGCTAATGATGGTAGCTACATCAAGCAGTCTATGAGTAACTAACCGATCCTGTCTTGATTTCTTTAAACGCTTGTGCAAGCTTCTCATCCCCTGGAATCCTCTTAACACGCTGCAAGCCAACACCGTTATACATTGTAAAGTCTTGGGTAAGCGCTATAGTAGTAATAGACCGCTCGCGAATGTAGACATGCAAGTAGATGAAGTAGCAGAGGACAACGCTAGTTCATGTCAAATATGAATATAGGTACATAAAATATATCTAAATATATGGTCATTAATCGTTATTCTTCACAAGTTCCTTCAAGGCAGAGAAATCAAATGTCAGGTCAAGACTATCAGATTCATTTTCAGTCCGGTATTGTGTTTTGATCAAAGCGGACAATCGACGGGACCAGAGCTCGATTATGTCAGGTTGAAGATCGTCGGTAAAGGCTTGAGCATCATGGCCAGTACTAGCGTATACGTCAGAAGCAATTGCTTCGTTTGACTTTGTCGATATGAGTGAGAGATCGGTAGGTAGAATCAAGCTAATGTCATGCAAGTCACATCCATTTGGGATTCTTTCCAAAGGTAATTTGTGGGTAGTCTTCCGTCGTAGACTTTTGTCGTTTTGTCCAGAGATATTTTGATGCCGCATGAGATATGCCCTTGGATCATGCGGGTTGAGGACAGGTCTGGTTGTAGATCGACTCCGTCCCTCGTCGGTAGCGGGCTCCGAATGAAGCGCTGCTCGTGCAGCAAGATATCTGCTGAGATGGGGTGAACTGGAAGGCGTGGATGGCTCCACACGATCCCTGATCCTCTCTCGGTGCTTTTTAATAGCCTCTCTTTTTCGATTCTCGAAATCAAGTGCTTCTTCTAGTTCTGAGTTTTGGTCTGTTTTGGAAGATTCATGCAATCTAGCCGACCACTTTTCAAGTACTGGAAGTTCACGTCGCTTGCCAGCGGTGACTACAGCTGGTGCGGCGGATGAACCGAGCAGACTAGAGCGTGGAGGCTCTGCTTCCGGTGCTGGGGAAGCGTGTGATCTTGCACTAGGGATACATTGGGAATCTTGCGTTGCGCCCGCAGATGCCAACGAACCCGATGACGATGCATCCCCGGATCCAAACCGACCATGCGCTAGTCGGCTCAAGGTTGGATCTGTTTGGGCCTCATCTGGATTTTCTTCCGCGGCGTTTTGAGAGAGCGAAACTTGCGTTGTCCTTGAAAAGATGGTATCTAGAGCACCGTTCCCGTACCTTTCTCGATCAAGGTCCCTGGAGGCGCGTAAGGACTGTCCCTGCGGCGAGCCTGTTAGGTGCGACTGCTGAACTCGTGGCAATGACATTCGTGGGTTTGGAGAAGAATTTGAAAGAGATGTGTCGGTCGAAGATGGGCTTGGAAGAAACGATTTTCGACTGTGGTCATTCTGTTTTCTTTGCGAGCTTCTTTGCGTCCTCAACAATCCATCAGGGGTTCCATGGTTCGAAGATAAAGTCACCACTGCACTTCCAGTCCCTTTGGTCCCATTCTCGCGAACTGGCACATTCAATTTGGTGATTGACCAAGGGTTGATAAATTGCGAATTCCTCGAGTGCGAACCTGGTGCCGTAGGTCTTTCAACGGCCACATGAGTTTCGCTTTGCTCGGGAGATTGGCATACACTGCCGGTCGTATTGGCACCAGATGATGAATTGGTGGATGAGCGAGCAGGTATATATATCGATGATAGGGAGCCATCAGGACTCCTAGCTTGTCGGACGGGTTGAGGACTTTTCTGTGCAAGGAGGAGGTCGAACCTGCCTTCTTGCGTAGGTTCCTTGCCCTTGGGTGAGCTTGGTCTTTTCTGCTCCATTTCCAAGTTGTCTCCATATACATTCGCCATAAAGTCTTTTAATACGGACAAAAACTCCTCCCGATCTTCAAACAGTATATCATCTTTAGCTGGCTCAATATTGACATCGTACGGCTCTTCCAAGCTTTTGACATGCAAGCAAAGAACCGGATCCGTGATTGTCGGGACAAGTCCCTTGCGAGAACAAGCCGACCGGACATATGATTTGTAGATTTTTGTGACGTCGCGACCAAGCCCTCTGGCTGAAGACAATGGTCTACCATCCACGCTGATATATTGGCCAGCGTTGTTTAGTTTAGCGATATCTGCAATTGTTAGACGAGTAATCTTTGAAAGGAAATTTCAAATTACCATTTTCAGGGTTGAGAAGGACCGCGGTCAGCACGAACTTAGAATTCTGCTCTGAGGACACATCTTGAACTGCGACGTTTCCCGGTGGCCACTTCTTGACGATGCAACTGGAAGCAATATCCTTGCCAACAATTTTGATCGCTGCATCCATGAGTGTTGGATCTGGTCCTGGGGCATAGATGAAATTATTCTTCTCATTTTTTGCCTTCAGTACCCTGAAACACAACCTCTTTGGAGGTTGAGCGATGGCGTAGGCTTGTATCAGTTTCTTGATTTTTCCTAGTGTTTTGACTGTGCTTCTGAGTGTGGTCTGTCTTCGAACGGGTATGTGTTTGAAAAGGTCCACGACCCGAACAGAAGTTCCAACAGGATGAGATGCGCGCTGAGTGCTACACAATATCATTAGACCTTGCTCACTCAATTAACTCATGGATACTTACCTAAAGGGTACACCGTCTTTTCCGTATTTGATGCTGGATCCCACCAGTTCTGAATTTACCCTAGTACTAACGGTCACTCCACCCGAAACTTCAACCATACTAGCCAAGGCCTCGCCTCTAAAGCCGAGGTGTTTGGCCCCGACTTCTCTCAGATCCTCGACTGTTTCGATCTTGCTCGTGTAGGCACGTTTACAAACCACAGAATGGTCACTGGAAGGTATGCCATGGCCATTGTCTTTCACCTGAATGAGGTCGACCGTATTTGCAGAGATATCAACAAATATCGATGTAGCCGAGGCATCCAATGCATTGTCTACAAGCTCTTTGACAACCGAGCAGGGGTCAGAGATGACCGATGTTGCACCAATTGCCCGAATGGTGGTTGGGGGGAGGGCCGTGATCGGCATTATCAACGGTGGCTCTGCAGGCCGCAAACCATGGTTATATATTGGCCCAACAGGGATGCTAGATATTAATTGAAGGAGAACGAATACAAATAAGTATACTATAAGAAACGAAATGATATCACTGATGTAAGGTGTATACACAGCGAGCGAGTGGTGACATGAGGTGTATTGAGTTGAAAAGAAGTATTTCCACGCACATTGTTCGGGGATATGGGGGTCAGGGACACAGCTGAGTAATCAGGACTCCGCCAAGAAGAGAAGCATCCCTTCTCGACAAATCAACGACAAACATTCGTTTCTGACACCTACATGGTCACTGAATCCAAAGATGCTGTGTTCAGCCTTCTCGATATCGCAGCTGGCGATACCGAGTGTGTCTCTTCTTATTAGTTTCCTCGCATATACCTCACAATATCTCCTCCTCAACTTCGAACCTGCGCCGATCACAGACCGCGAGCTACTGTGGGTCAACGTTTTCGCGCTCTGCATATGGATATGCTACTACCGGGCCTGTTCCGTGGATCCGGGGCGTATTCCCAAGGGCTGGCGGCCTCAAGACAGTAAACAACTGGAGTCCGACCGTGCAAGCGGGCGATCACGGTGGTGTCGTAGATGTGAAGCTTTCAAGCCGCCCCGAGCGCACCACTGTAAAACGTGTCAAAGGTGGACATTAAACGTAGCCCGGCCTCCTCTGACGAGTCATATATGCTGACATTCGGACCTAGATGCATTCCGAAGATGGACCATCACTGTCCATGGACTTCGAACTGTGTCTCGCATTTCACATTTCCTCATTTCATACGGTTTCTCTTTTACGCGGTGACGGGCATGACCTATCTTGAGACTTGCTTATGGGAAAGAGGTGCTATCATTTGGGCTTCTAGAAACCACCCAAGCGTAAGCAGTTATCGAGCAAGTCTGTCGCCTTTGCTAATCTTGTTTAGTACATGGGGCCTAGTGTCATCCAGATAGGCCACCTGTTTATTCTGTTTGTAGTGAACAGCCTGACAATATTTGTGCTCTCTATTCTCCTCGCTCGAACAGCTTGGAGTCTTATATTCAATACCACGGTCATCGAGACCTGGGAAATTGAAAGACACGAAACGCTAGTGCGACGGGCCAAACACTTTCACGGATACTTGACAAGTCCCCATGGAACTCGAGTGCATATCAGGAAGCAAGAATTCCCGTATGATATTGGAATATGGGACAACATCAAGGCCGGAATGGGCGGAAGTTCAAATGTGAGAGTACTACGCAAATCAAATACTGTACTATCATTAACATCTCTTGCTCAGGTCCTCGGCTGGTTCTGGCCTTTGTCAAGAACGTCTAACCGTTCGACGGGTTTAGAGTTCGAGACCAATGGGTTCGAAAGTTAGTATACAGTTGTTTTTACCGAAGGTCAAGCTGACTCCAATAGATTCAAACCTCTCATGGCCACCACCGGACCCCGATCGCATTCCCATGTCTGCGCCGCGAGCGAGGGGCAGCATATCACCCGATCCAGAGGCCTCTGGATACGTAAACAGCCTGTCCCCCTCCAGTGGCCCATCAAGAACCAGGAATGATCTGGCCATCCAGCGGCGCCGGCGCTTCCATCAAAGGATTGATCAGAAGACCGATGAAGCCAAGAACTCAGCAGAGTCCAGTTCAGCCGATAGCGATCAGTCGGATGACGGCGAACAAGCATGGAGGAACTCGGAAGGCGAACGGCTTCGTGATTTCGGTGTCGACGAGGATGCCGAGTTCTACGATGAAGAGGATATCCCACTGGCTATTTTGGTTCAGCAAAGAGCACAGGCGGCGCTGAAGCAAGTGACCTAATACGGGCTTTTGTATATAAGAAGTAGGAAGGATCGAAGCATTCGTAAAGCAGAACATCTCAAGGGTTTCATGATTCCTCCTCGTCGTAGGCAGCGTAACATTAGTGGCTCTCGATGTCTCGCTGATGACGAGCAAAGCGAGACAACTTCGTGGTGGGACCGGTGTAATGCCCGGTGAGTTCGAGACATCTAACCGTGTTGTATCACGTCTAAACACCCGGAATTTGATTTGAGAGACCTCAAGGCTTGAGTCTCATACCATGGTTATCGATACATCCTGCTGCGTAACCATGCTCAGGGATTCCATCCATACTATCTCGACTCTCTTGGCTTCGCAGTAATCTTGAAAATACTACAACAAGAACCTCGTGGTCGCGAAGTGGGTACGGATGGACTTCATAATCCAGCACCAGGTAATTGAGATGTCTGCCTGGTCTTTATGGATGATAGGGCTGCTTCCATTTGTGTAAACGCCGTACTGACAGTCATAAATTGCATAAATCGATATATGATCGTATATTTTGTCCATGCCGTGCACAAAGTAAATCATTGATGGATCCATGAGCAGGGCCGGCATTGGTTGCCGATGACACCATCCCAGGGAGGCCTCTGATTGGCTGCCTTATGAGCATAACAGCGATCTTTTGTGCTGTGCCAGCATTAGCCTGTGGGGATTGAATTAGAGGTATAAAAGTAGACATAATCACCGCTGATATTGACCTGAGATGCTTCATCTTCCCTTCCACGATGTGGTGAAGTCCCAGATGCAGCTACCCCAATACCCCGACCCCCGCAGAATGGCCGACCTGTGTGGCTCAGGAGCCCGATCCGACCACGGCTAAATAAAGACCACAGACCAATCGAAATGCAGGAATTCCTCAGTTGGCCGCGGGAATCCCCGACGTCGCATCCAGCAAATGACTGATCTCCCTCGCTCAACCTCTGAGTTTCCCCGGGAGGGAAAAAACAAGGAACACGCAGGCAAACGCAGAAAAAGCCGGAATTTCAACCCTACGACGCACCTTGAATCTAGCCAGATTCCATCATGCTTGACAATTGCCCACCATTCCTTCGACAATGAACGACCGGCCCGATAACCTTCACGACCATTCTTACTCGGAGTCCACCGCCATCTCCAGACCGCAATCTGTCGCGGTCGCCAGCAGTCGGACCTCTACCTCTCACGACCCGAACCCAGGGGGCAACCACCACAACGCCTTCGAACTCCATCAAATTGAGACCCATGAGGATGATGAACCCTGGTCGCTTTCCTCAGCAGAGTCTCGGGTTATCACCCGCCGGTCAAGATCGGTCGTGGACCAACGCTCTATACGCAGTCAGCCACCACGCAAGGGGCTCGCGGGATGGGTGCAGAAACGATGGGCTCGGAATGTGGTCATGACGGTGCCGGAGAATAAGAATCGCGATCATTTTGGTGAGCCCTTTTTTCTCCGCTATCAAGGGATGGGCGATGGTGCATGTGGAATGCCGGTTGTCTTTCCTCAGCGAGGGTTGTCTTACCCGAACGAGGGATTCCGCATCGCCAAACCTAGCTCTCCTGGGAGCCTCCTGCTAATCTCATCGCGTATAGCTCTGGAACGCACGTTCCTCGCCTATATCCGAACATCGGTCGTTCTGGCAATGCAGGGCGTGCTTGTTGCTCAGCTGTTTCGCCTGCAGCGGGAGTCGACTGCCAACGACCGGCTCGGGTATTATGAAGTGGGAATTCCTTTGTCGGTGAGCTGCCATGCGGTCGCTATTGCGGTGGCTGTGATTGGCGCCTATCGTTTCTTCAAGCAACAACATGCCGTGGCGTTGGGAAAGATATATGCAGGGGGATGGGAGCTCAATTGCATTGCTGGGTTGTTTGCTGCTGTAAGTCTTATTTCGCCCCGCCGCGGTGGCCATTGGAGGGATTGGAAGAGAGTACTTTCTGACAGAGCACAGGTGATTCTAGTAACCTTCGTCCTGTCCCTTGTGATTGCGGTGGAAATCGACATGGATCATGACAATGCGACCCTCATGGCATAAAAGTGGGATCAATTTTTCGGGATGTTATTATAATGTTTACCAGGGATATAGACTAATGCTTAATTTTCAACTCTACCATACACACAAATCACCAATATGCTTCGCGCTTAGAACTGGGAGCATAACATTGCCTATTACTAGAGAGTAAATACTATGAGTTAATTGCATTTATTTCTGAGTTATTGGATATCTCACTGTAAAGTTTGTTCATATTCGACCTGCCACAGATATATTGCCTCAATCACATGGTGAAGCTACAGTGGCAACGAGTATACGTAAGGTTAAGAAGCTGTGCTACATGCATATATAGAGACTGAACCCACGAGCTATCTCATAACAAAACCTTAATACTTCCTTGTCAAAACTTGCCTTTCTGTCCTTATTCGGAACATCCGATCCCTGTTGGATGCGACAAGATTGGCCGGGTCCTGCGGGGAAATGACAACACGAGGTACAGGCTCAGCCACTAAAAGCCTTAACCATTCGAAACCATCGTCGGGACCATCAATCTACTAGCCGAAGTGGATTGATTGATTGATTGATTGATTGACAGCTCCGTTTTTTTCCTCAGCCTCGCGTTGATTGAATCATTCATTGTGTAGTCCTACATATTTGACTAGCTCAAATATCCCACCTAGGCTGGGCCCCGACCGATGATCTGGCGCTGATCTGCCCCTTACCACTGCATGGGTTGATGATCGCGACGGCATTTAAAGACTCGCTCACTCCGCATCGTGCCGTCTGCTTGTTTTCTTTCTTTTTTCTTTGATTTTTTCCTCCAGGAAAAAGTTTAAATACCGATAGAAAATCACCTAGACAATCTACTAGAATGCGTGCTGCACCATGCCGGGTTTCCAAGAGCTCCTTGATTCCCAGCATCACCTCACCACCTACCACCTCTACCACGATGGCCCCGGACACGTCATGATCTCCCCAGAGAAGCAATCAAGAGACACACGAAAAGTGCGCAAAAGAAACACCACCAAAGATGCCGCAGACTCCACCGCCCACCCCCAAGGGAGCTTCTACATGCACCGACCATCCCTCAGCTTCCACAGCGCCCCCCGCACCCTGCGACACGGCGGCGCCAAGACAGGGGCCCCCATCTGCATCATGAACGACTCGCCCCTCTGGGGCCGCTGGAATCTGCAATTCGGCGAAGAAGAGCTAGCACAGGCGCTCGATCCGCGCGGGGTCGTCGCATGGCAATCGCGCAGCAACGCCAACAACAGTCGCGACAAAAACAACGACGACACCGCACTGAAGGGCTACAAAGTGCGAAGCTGGCGACTGTGGGGAGAGTCCGGCAAGGCCTACCACCGCGAAGTCAACGCCGCCCGGAAACAAGACAAGCCCGTCCTTCACCGCCAATCCAGCGACAAGGGCTCCTCGGCGGCGTCGTGTACCGAAGACGAAGGCGAGACGCACGACGCCGTGCGCGCCGCCTACACGTCGTCCCTAAACTGGGTGTCGCCCATCTCGAGCCGCACCCGCTGGTACCAGCTGACCCACGACGGAATCGACCTCGTCTGGAAGGGCACGCGCGACCTCCGCCGCGGCCAGTCGATGCGACGATGTTTCATGCCGTTTCACCACCTCAAGCTGGTCGCGCGTCTGCCGCCGCTGTTTGTGGGGGACTGCGATAGCGAGATTCTGCTCGCGCAGTACTCGAGTAGCTGGGGAAGTGACAAGCATGGCTCGTTGGTGATTCTGGATGAGGTCGTCAGCCGGATTTTCGACCGCGGGCGGTCGTTATCGGAGTCGAGTGGGCTGCGCGGGGCGAAAAGGGCGGACCATCTTAAACGGGTGTATGACTTGATTTTGACGACGGCGTTGTGCATGATTGTTGGCGAGGAGCAGAAACGGAAGATTTTCTTGGCTGTTTTGGCGTTAATCGCGGAGGGGGGCGGGGGTTGAATTTTGGAGTTGGTCGTCGAATCTCGTTATTTTATCGTCTTTTTTGATGGACGGCATGCTTGACTTTCTGTGGCATGTTTGATGGCTTCTTTCTGGGCTATCCCATATCACTGGTGATTCGAGACCTGATCTATGCAGAATCTATGTATGCGCAAGATGCACTATAGGTCCCGTGAGTTCGTCACATTATTCTGCCCAAGATTCCATCTGTACTTCACTACTACCAACAAGCTATGCCAAGTTATAGGGACATTCCAATCAACTGAATCTACTCAAGCTCGTCAAGGACTTAAAGTATGCATCCTTGTCTCTGAATGATGTCAGTCATATCTCATGCTTCCCCGCATTCTATCTACTTCACAGCGCTAAGCAGGTACAATCCCACAGGCTTAAGCTTATACAAGAATAGTCCGATACATCTAGCACTCCCGATATGGCACAACAGATGGTTCACCAGGCCTAGAATGTATATTGCATACTAGTCGTCCGAAAAAGAAAGCAATAACGCCCTCTCATACGCAATATGCAAATCTAATAACTGACACTACAACACCCAACTGCCACTCCCAAGGCACAAAAACGGAGAAAACGCCCGCACCCCTTCTCGATGCAACTGATGTACCAACGGGTTCAACCAAACCGGCGTCGTCCACAACAGGAACACTATCACCCACGTGTACCCAATCCCTTGACGCCAACCGGGACTCATCTTGTTAATTGTGTCGCGGAAGACATGCTGGGATACATTCTCCACGACGATTCCCGCGGCCTGCAACATAAAGAAATACATCGCGCCACTCTGCGCAAGCGGTACACCGAACGCGAGATCCATACCGAGGTGTACGAGTCCGGAGACGGCGAACGCAAATGCAAGACGCATGTAGCACACCCATGCTGACGATGACGGTATACCCAGGGTTGAGGCGATGAAGTTGCCGTTTGAGACCACTGTTTGGCGGAATATTTGGTGCCATGACCTCCTAACGAACCTTGTCAGCACATGTTCACGTTCACCCACGCGAGAATAGAGGGAGTAGAAAAGAAGGAAAGAAGAAAGACATACGACCACAGCCGTCTCAGCGTCCACGCATCCGTCAATGAACCCGCAATCGGCGGCCACTCAACCGGCTCATAGAACCCCAGCGCAACGACCAGCATCGCATAAGAAGAATACCCAGCAAGAATAGCCGCTCTGCAGATAACCCCAAACGACACGGTGAACAAACTCTGCACCAGAACGCGCCTCGCCGCCCCCTCACCCCGACCCGGCACCAGTACCGTTCTCACATCTGTCGGCAACATCACCACGGCATCCGCAACATACATCTCATCCGCCTCAACCGTAAACATATGCACAGCCACCAGCGCAAAAACAACCTTCGCAGCAGCGAGACCCACATACCGCAGCCGAGTAGGCACATAGTCAGGATCGGAGTCATCAAAAGCCGGCAACTGATCAATCTGCCAAGGCGTATCAATCCGACGATAATTAAACACGGTGTTAACGCCCCAGACGACACGACGGAATAAGGACTTGTGCGTCGTCTTCTCGCGGGTCTTTTTCGCCTCCCATGCGACCTGCGCGTCGTACGACGCGCGGCTCAGAAGCAGTAGATCGAACGCGTTGAGAACATTCACCCAGCACATGGCGACGATGGGGCCTCCTACGCGGACCCCCGCGAAGGCTTGTTGTATCGCATGCTGCTGGACGGAGGCTGCGAGGGCGACGACTGCGACTGCGGCGATGGGCCGCGCGGGGGAGTGCGCGGGTGCCAGGGCGATCGTCAGGCCTGTCACGAGCTGTACGAGGAGCCATTGTAGGGCGGGGATGGCCCAGGGCGGTGGCATTCCAGCTGTCTGGGCGGTCATCGCTGCTGCTGCTGTTGGAGGGAGGGACGTGGAGAGGAGGAGGGGAGATAGAGATGTCTCCCATCCCGTGAAGAAATTCTCAGGGGAGGGAATTCGAATCTGTGATGTGGAGAATGTTTGTTGTTCGTCCTGGCTGCAGGATCATTTATGATTGGTTGGGGTGGAGGTGAGACGAGTCAAGAATGCACATGTCTTACAACTATTTGTTAATAGTGTGGATTGGCTGTGGGTGTGGTTTGGATTGCGATCTTTGTGTAGATCTGCCGCTGCGATGATCAGTGGATCTCTATGGGTTTTATCAATTCTCTTTCTTTCAGTGTTCACACGAGAGAGATATACAATGATAGTCTAATACGGATAGACAATATTGATACCGGGATCCAAATACTTATGACTACGCAGTCTATATCAATCTCGAAGAAATACATCAGAATACCACAACTCAGTAACTAAGCTAAACCATTCCCAGATACCACTATAAAACTCTCTAGGACACTAGACCAGCATAATATCACTACAAATTACCAACACCATCCTCAACCCAAACGAGAAATCCACCACACGTGGGCGAACTCAATTCCCACAACTGTCGTGACATCACATCCAAGCGAACCCTAATCTCCGATCGCAAACAACACCCATAAGCAAAACAACCTATCCACTGTACTCATCTATCCCTCCATCTAGACATATAGATAAGACAGACAATGACATACAACACACCTGTCACCTAAACAATGTCATAAAAGCCCCACATAATTCGTTCGCCCCAGGTGGTGAGGTCGCCATGACTTCATCGCCCTTCGCCCACCAATGAAGCTGCAAATCCGTAGCGTGCGTTCCCAAAGACAATGAAGTTTACCGTTAGAATGCACGCTGTCCAGACCATGGGCGGGGTTTTTATAACTACTTTCTCAACCCTCCTGTCTCTAGCTCGATTGCTCTATTGACAGACAGACAGACGAACAAACCGCAGTATCAGCTCTTGAGTAGTGGAAACACGCCAGCCACAAAGATGACTAAAGATTTGGTTCGTTTTGTTGATTTATGCTTAAAGCTACTTTTATATATTAGACCGATAGGTAGATGATACTAACTTTATTCAATGCAGACATTCGACATCCGTTACGACAACGAGCTCGCACACGATTACTACCGCGAGGGAGCGGACCTCGCTGCTGTGTATGTATCCATTGTCTTCTTCTTTCCTCTTTTTTTCCCTTCGTCTACGCTCAACACCCTCCCTACCATATCAAACAGCGCATTTCTAGCAAATTGTACAAGCAGAACCCAAACCAAACCAAGTCAAGCTAACCAGCCCAACCCAATCACAGAATCAGAGACATCTACAGAGACCGCCAACTGCACATCCCAGATGCGTTCGAGTCGACACTGACTACCCCGCCTATCCATTTCATGGAGTATGTCCCACCAACTTCCCTGTCTCGGTATATTGAATTGAGACCGTTATGGCTAATCATAGATGATAGGGTCGAAGCGCCCGAGGATATCGATGTCGAGGAGCTGAGGAAGGTGGATGTCCCTCCTGGATTGAGTATTGAGATTCAGGATTTTCATATCTAAGTAGTTTGGGGTGTTGCCTTGGGAGTCATATATATTCTGTTGATGTGTACATGAATTGATTCATATAATTGTTATTATTATTTTTATTCTTAGGTGGTTATAGTAAAGGGAAGTTGGGCTAGTATAGCGTTGCGAAGGGATAGATTCTTCTCTACGCCATACTTTTTTTATATATGTCTCCATAGTCTGGCTATAGTACCACCTGCCTAGGTACCTTATCTACATTTATCCAATAACCAATATCATGCGTGGGGATGGATGTACGAAACAACTACTTAAACCAATCAATAACAACACACAAAAAAAAGAAAGAAAGAAAGAAAAAAAAAAAGAGAATCACAGAACTGAATCAACACATTGCATTAGCAAAAGAAGGGAAGTGTAGATAAAGTATATAGTTGAATAAATATGGAAATAAAAAATAAAATGAAAAAAGCAAAAAGAAACGACAAGGGCCGGATTCGAACCGACGACCCCGAAGGGATAAGATTTCTAGTCTTACGGATTAACCGCTCTCCCACCTTGCCGGTTGGATGTTATATGCTTTTTATTTTGGCTCTATGTAGGGTGTACACATTGCCAGTGCTTAGCATTCGCGGGTACTTCCAAGGCACTGAGCGCTTCATGTCCATAAATGACTTACGCTATAGTTGTCAAAGGTTACTATCCCGCTACAAGAAGGCTCCGAGAATTTGTCAAGTAATACGGGTACAAATAAATAAGTGTGAAAAATCATATTATCAGATAAAGAAACATCATTATTAAACCATGATCATAAGAACTCATGTACGTCTAAGAAAATTCCATACATTAGAAAAATCATTGCCATCACATCACATCACCTATCCTCTCCGCCTAGTCATCGCATAAAAAATCAAAGAGATATATGTTTTTTGTGGATTTTGTTGGTTTAAAGCGACTTCAGCAGAGCATCCAGGATAGGCAAGGCATCGGTGACATCATCAATCAGCAGCGACGTCTCGTTCACGAACTTAGGCGTAAGCAGATCGTGGGCGTTGGACAGCAGCGAGGAGACCTCGGTGATAGTCGAGGGCTTGAGCAGGGGCTCGATGGCCGGGATGAGCGGCTTGACCTTGCCGAGGAGGGGCTTGAAGGCGGGCAGCAGCGGGATCACGTCCTCGAGGACGTCCTCGAGGGTGTCGACCACGTCGGGGGTGAGCAGCTTGTCGGCGCCGGTCACCAGGTTGGAGGTGGAGTTGACGAAGCCCGGGGTGAGCAGCTTCTCGGCGTTGCCGAGCAGGCCGACGATACCCTCGATGCTCTCCTCCTTGAGGAGGGGCTTGAGGGCAGGCAGGAGCGGAACAGCCATGTCGATGAGAGACTTGAGGCCCTTGACGGCTTCGGGGCTGAGCAGCTCGTCCGCGTTGTCGATCAGGCCGCTGGTCTTCTTGACGAAGCCTGGGGTCAGGAGATCCTCGGCGTTGCCGAGCAGGCCGATGAGGCCCTTGATGCTCTCCTCCTTCAGGAGGGGCTTGAGGGCGGGGATCAGAGGCACAGCCTGGTCGATGAGAGACTTGAGGCCCTTGACGGCCTCGGGGCTGAGCAGCTCGTCCGCGTTGTTGATCAGACCGTTGGTCTTCTTGACGAAGCCTGGGGTCAGGAGGTCCTCGGCGTTGTTGAGCAGGCCCACGATACCCTCGATGCTCTCCTCCTTGAGGAGGGGCTTGAGGGCTGGCAGGAGCGGGATGGCCATGTCGAGCAGGGACTTGAGGCCCTTGACGGTCTCCGGGGTGAGGAGGGTGTTGGCGTTGTTGATCAAGCCGTTGGTCTGTTTGACGAAGCCGGGGGTGAGGAGATCCTCGGCGTTGTTCAGCAGGCCCACGATACCCTTGATGCTCTCCTCCTTGAGGAGGGGCTTGAGGGCCGGCAGGAGCGGGATGGCCATGTCGAGCAGAGACTTGAGGGCCTTGACAGTCTCCGGGGTGAGGAGGGTGTTGGCGTTGTTGATCAGACCGTTGGTCTGCTTGACGAAGCCGGGGGTGAGGAGATCCTCGGCGTTGTTCAGCAGGCCTATGATACCCTCGATGCTCTCCTCCTTCAGGAGGGGCTTGAGGGCGGGGATGAGCGGGACGGCCATGTCGATCAGGGACTTGAGGGCCTTGACTCCGTCGGGGCTGAGGAGCTCGCTCGCGCTGTCGATGAGAGTGTCGGTCTTCTTGACGAAGCCAGCAGTCAACAGGTTGTTGGCGTTGTCGATGAGGGTCTCGGTCTTCTTGACGAAGCCGGCCGTGAGCAGGTTGTTGGCGTTGTCGATGAGGGTCTCGGTCTTCTTGATGAACTGGGGCGTCAGGAGGTTGTTGGCGTTGTCAATCAGCTTGTCGGTCTTCTCGCCAAACTCGGGCGTCAGGAGCTTGCTCGCCACTCCGACAAGGCCGCGGATCTGGTTGTCGACGGGCGGGGCCAGACCAGTGGACAGGTACTTGAAGGTGTTGGTCAACTCGGCGAGGAAGCCGGGGTCGAGGAGGTTCTTCACACCCTCGCCCAGCTCGCCGAGGCCCTCGAGGAAGGGGCTCTTGGGCTTGTCGTCCTTCTCATCCTCGCTGTCGTCGCTGTCCTCTTTGTCCTTGCTGCTGTCGCTGTCCTCCTTGTCCTCGTCATTTTTCTTGAAAGGATTCAGATCCTCGAGGGGACCACCATCAGAGCTCGAGGGCGCCGGGGCAGAGGAGGAAGCGGACGAAGACGACGAGTCCTCCGTCTTGGCAGACTTCGTGGGCGCCGGCGCGGGAGCCGACGTCGGTTCTTGCTGACCCTCATCGTTGGGTTTGGCGGTAGGCAGGTCAATTAGGGGAGAATGGGACTCCTCCTCGGACTTGGAAGAGGTGGGCTTGTCGTCCGAGGAAGTGCTGGCCACCTCGGGGGCATGTTGGTCTTGCTGCTGCTGCTGCGGGTGCGGTTGGGCCTGGGCCGTAGGCGTCGGCTCCTGGGCACTTTGGGCACTTTGCGCGACGGCAGTGCTGCTGGGCCCATCGTTCTTGTCACCAAGGCCCAGGTTATCCAGAATTCCGTCGGCCGGGATGGCACCCGCACCGTTGGTCGCGACCAGCAGCGCGGTCGCGAAGATTGGCGTGAAACGCATGATAAAGGAGACTTTATTGAAAGAGTTTTCCTTGTGTTTTTTTGTGTTTTCTGTTTCTTGGGGGGATTTTTTATGGTCGTTCCTTCGTTTTCTCTTCGCCTCAGCAGCAGCAATGCAATTGATCTCAACAGCTCCGATATCCTGTCTTGAAACTTGACGGGTAAGACAGAGGGCCTGGTCGTTCTGGGGATCGAAGAAAGAGCACCTCCGCGAAAGGGAGACAGCTCTATATGTGAATGCAAACTGATGACGATCGTCGTCGAGTTGAGAAACTAGTTCCCCGCGATCCGTCCTTGGGGCGACGCTAAAACCTGCTGGCTGCTGTTCCTCTCCATATCCAGCATAGTAAATTGGGTCTAAACCGAGGTCGCTCCTCCACTCTTCCCCCCATGTGCCGCCATGTGATGAGATTGTTATATGGGACCGGACGATGCTAATCACAGTCCTGCCCAACGGACTTAATTTAGCCAGTGCCTAGGCAGACGATGGCCCAATCGACTATTGTCCAGCGCGATCGTATCCCTGTCGCTCGCGAGCCCCCTCTCCCCATGGGGGGAGTTATCCAATCCCCATGCTCCGCCCTCCGCATCTGGTGCTTACTTCCTTGGATCATGACCTGTTGGCTCCGGCCTGTATCTCCTGAGCCTTGGACAGGGTGGTGACTAGTGCCCCTCTAGCTACTGACGAGGTGGGTCGTTCGGGATAGTTCTTGGTTCTAGTCCAATTGACGTTCAAATACGGTGACAGCCTCGCATTGGCATATTGTATACGATGGGAGTTGACTATCCTTGACCTCCTTCAAAGTGCCACAGGACATCAGGCTCCGCACCGTACGCGATGTATATCCGTTAACCTTCACCGGGAGGAGCCGCTTTCCCATCGGGATAGATTCGGGATGGTGAGAGAAAATCTCCAGCCAGTCGAACCCACAGATGCCATATGTACTCCGTGGACAGAAGAGACTTTCGGTGAGAAGCGGACGGGGGGAAACAATGTAACGTTCCTTGATTCCAACCGATCAGAAAAACCGCGAAGACGAGATAGTTAGCCAGTGGGGATGGCTGAGGTAGTCGGGGGAAAACATCAAGAACAGGGAAATTGTGATGTCGATCGAGGCGCCGATCCCCGTGCGGGAGAGGGTGATGTTGGTCGGTCAGTGAGACATTGTTGAGGGGGGAAGCTGGTCATGAGCTATCCAGCTCCGATAGTATAATAGATTAAAATTATGTCACTTTTTAATTAAAAAATGCATGGCACGACAGTTGGCCTGCAAATGATGCGGGTGGCGCGATGCTTATCAAATGGTGGCGGTCTTGACCGTGTTAACCCTGTCCACAAAGGCGAGGGAGGAGAAAAGAAGAGAGAAAGGAAGGAGATGCGAAAAAGGGAACCTGATGGAATGTTGTGGCTCTGTTGTTGGGGTCGTGACTCTGATTCCTTCTCTGGATCCACCACCCTCAACCAATCCAAATGACAGACCCCTGATGAAAACCCCAAGTCTGGTTAAATCCCCTGCCTATCTTCTCGTAACACTAAACGGCTCGCTTTTACGGACCATGGAAAGACATGGTAAGCGAGAACCAGCTTTGATCAGAAGATCCTATACTATACAGAGATTTCGAACAGTGGTGGCTGTACTGGTGCATCCCGCGTGGGATCAACAAGAACAGCCTGCATGTGAGATCAAACGATCGCGTTAGCAGGGAAGACAGGAACAAGTTCCAACAGCATTGACCGGAATGTCTAGAGCTGACTTCTGGCAAGGTTCTCAACGCGTCGGAGCATATGAATACGCCAGACTTTCCCCCCGTTCCTGGGGGGAATACCCCAAAGACGATAAACAAACACAGCCTCTCTCTGGCTCTGGAAGAATGGAAGCAGACCCCACATCGGATGGATGCGTTGGATCCACCGGGAAAACTTCTCAAAAAAGCAAGAGGCCCACCCGAAAGTCCCCAGTTGTCCCAATAATCCCATCCCCATACTCGTCGCCGTGATCCTCTTGAACCGCTTCCCCGTGGTCGCGATAGGACGCGGGTGTCTCAGAAGTGGGAAGTAGTAGTATTTTTCCTCCTCCACCGCCAATTACTGGGGTACAAGTCCCTTCCACCCCACGTGAATCACGAACCTGGAGCCGATAACCAATTACTGGACTATATGGAGGCGACATATTAGTGGTCCATTGGCCAAACGGACCATACCACTTCCCCAGAAAATAGCCGAGGGTCTATCCCGATCGGCGGCGACTACGAGTAAAGTATTAGGCGATAGATAGGTCACTCTGCAACGATTTAGGGACCTCCCCGACTCGCTCCGCGTCGTATCACTCCAAACGGAGCACATGCCCCGATGTCTGACGTCGGACTCGGAGGAGATCCTCAGATCACGGCGGGGCCCCGCTTTATGCGCCTTTATCTGGAGTCGCTTCCGGCGCGGGGGGTTGCGAGGTGTGCGTCTATTGCGTTGCCACCCGCCTGTGCCATGGCCGAGATGGCGTCATACGGTCTGGGTTAATTTATTCGGTTTTAAATTCCTGCTCTCTATCTTTGGTTCTCGATAAATTAAACTCATAAATTAGAAAGTGGGGGAGGCGATGTACCTAGGTATCTGGCCGAATGTTTCGATCGTGCATATGACAGAAACTCTACTTCTATTAGAATGACGAGATATTTTATGACTAACCTACATCAAAAACAATTCCGTAGAATCAAACAGGCAGACTAAATCAAAATTCAATTGACGATAAGGATGGGTGATATATAAGAAGTCAGCTATGGTATTTTGAGCAAGGTCACTGATAAGACATAACGCTAGTACATGAACAATGCGAAAAAATACCGGTGAAAACAGTCAATCTCCATATGAAGTTACATGTTTGTTCGTAGAATCAAACAGAAACCTGCAAACCCCCGTGGGAAAGAAAATATTCATGGTCAGGTGTTGCATCACTGATTCAAGTTGAAGAAGCCCAGAAAGTCAGACCAGTTATTGAGGAGTCACTGAAGCTGTCCGGTCGCGTCTGTTTGGAATGTTATGTTTTTTTTGCAACGCTTGTAAAATCCGACGGAGATGTTCTTATGCTCTTCAAGTGTCTCTGGGCCGATTGTTACATCGTCCACGTACACCATGCAAAAGTGCCGGTATTGCCATAATAAGCTCTGAATTTGTCACTGGACATATGGGTCCGGGCTAGTAAACACCATCCTGATGACATCTCGAATTTGAACTCTTCTTGGGTCAACTGTCGATGCTTGGATTATCAACCACCGCTCAATGTGATTAGGGACAATTTCGATCCCAATAGTATAGTGGTCTGTCTGTCTTTCTCATCAAGGAACCCATGCTGGCCACCCATGCGGTGCAATTTCAATGATGAAATCGATCATAGCACGCCGGTTGAAAATTTCGTAGTCATATGGAGAAACAAGCATATACACGCAGACAACGGAATAAACTGTGGCGGAGACCGACCGTCTCGCGTGCCTAACTTGTGAACGACTCCAGTGGTGGAGGTAGATAATTCAAAATGCTCATTCTATCTCAATCATCGCGAGCCGAGCATGGAACTGACTGGGAAATGTGACTAAGAACGCACGCGAGAGCTATCATTGTGGCGGGATCCGAATGTTGTCGGCATGGAAATCTTACCGATATATATATATACGTATATATATCTATGCTCTGCATATCCCAAGACCTGAGATTGCCGATGGTCACAAGGACCATCTGTGCCTGGCTGAGCGCCACATTGAGTCGGTTCTTGTTTGCTATGAACCCAGCTTTGCGCGCATTGGCAATGGTTTGGTCATGGAAAAGACGACCAGAGGTGTCTTTGGCTTTTGAACAGCGCGAATTGTAAGATCAACAGCTCGAAAATACTCCAGAGACCGAATCTTCGCGTTTCGTCGGAACGACAAAGCTATAGACGAATCCGCTTAAATTGGGGCATATGGTATCTCGATACTATATCGATGGTAATGTCAAGAAACTTATTTCATGCAGGCCGTGATTGAGGCCGTAGGGCTCTAGCTCCATCTTCGAAAGCCGTTGGCGTCGATCAAACTAGCTGTGAGTCTTGTAGCGGGACAAAGCACGTCAAAGCAGGTTCTGTGAGCTTCGCGAATATATATATATATAGCTTGGCGTGTCGCAAGCAATAAGAAGAAGGAAAAACTATGCGAATCATGACCTGCGCTGCATGAAGACGACTTTTAACGATGATACTAAGACAAGTGAGTATCATTGACGTCCCAACCAGGTGGTGCCATATGTATCGATTGTTGGAGACATCAATCATATCAAGCCCGACCAGATACTGATAAATTTTTTTTTTTTTTTGGTGCAGTGGCTGGCCTGCCAGATTTCTTCTAGCACTCTGGCACCGATGCAAAGCTCGAACGCTGGTTTCCTGCGGCGTTTGGCCATATCGCTGTTATGATAGTTGTTCCTTTGCCCATCACCTGGAATATGACCTGGTACATATCGATAGCCCGTGCCTTCATGTCCGGGGTCTGTTTGCTGAGTCCTTGGACGTTCTTATCTTGCTGCTGCGCGAGTCAAATGGTTAGAGAATGAGAGAGGTGCTCCTATGTCTGCTTCAGAGCGTGATTGGGTGCTGGATGGTGAAAGATCAGATCAATGACATGTTCAATATGCGTCAATCTGAGCATATCACGGAGATTCCAAAACCTTTAGGAGACTTTTGTGTCCATGATACGACCAGCCGATTCACTGGTTTGATATGTGAAGCATGCCGCCCGGGCCATCATTGGCGGCTGCTCCAGTATACTGTTCCAACCTAGGAGAATATCTGACGACCTTGGCAATCTTGGTGATCTTGGCGATTCTTCGAGAAGAGTGGGGCTCATAAACTGTGGCATGCTGCACCAAAATAATGAATCAGTATCTGGTCGGGTTTTGATATGACCGAAATGCATTTCTGCTTGGAGTCGAAGTGTTATCGTTTTGTAGCACTGGCCGCTGGTAAAATATTGGGATTGGTTTCCATGATTTGGGGAAATTTATAGCTCGTAGAAATATAAAAGACGTTGCTGGTCCTTGTTTCTGTGCATCTGTTGGCAATAATTATCGGTTGATAATAGGTTCTCTATACAGTTGACTGGTTCATGATATCGTTTCATAAAGAATGTATAATATATGTATATAAATCGTCTGCTGTAAAGTCGTTCCTGAGTTGCGGATGAAGAGAGGAGAAGAAGTTGGAAGAGGGATAGAGGTCTTATATATATGACGTGTCTATCTTTCTAGTAAGACACTGAATGAACTGAGCTACGGTCAATGAATGAAGTCGAAAGTGCTTGGAGTTGTTATTCACGCCATGGGCTGTAGATTCCCCAGTCATTCAGGATTTTGCCCAACCACATCACTGTAGTGGCGTGTCAATACAATGAACCGCCCTGTCACTTTAATTAAGTTCCTGGGTAGGACATAGGTCCCAAGGTACCACAGATAGAGTAACGTAACTCATCATGTTTAGTGTGATTAGGCTTGAAGCCGAACAGAATGATCTACCCGTGATGGCCACATGAGAAACCACCACATGATGAGAAACCTAGTAAATCAATGAACCGACCCATAATCATACAATAAATCATACCACATTTGCAGATCAGAGCAAACAGTAAATCAAACCCTGTTAGCAACACCCACTCTTAGCAAACAGTGGTGCAGTGGTCAGGTCAAACAGGAACCACCACAGTGGTGAGGTCATCCATACCACCCGAGCATGGTCAATCCCACCCAATGTAACAGTCTCCACGTCATGGTTATTTGGCCCATATAAGCAGTGCCTCTCTCCTATCTAGGTACCGTTTACAACTTTTCTAAAAAAGGTACAAGATCGAGTCAACTCAACAAAATGGTCCATTTAACTAGGGTCCGCCGCGAGACCGAGCTACAGCGCCGTCGCAGACGCCAGACCGACGAGGAGTGGTCGGAGGCCGCCTCGCCGTATATCTACAGCACCAAGTATGCGATTGAGGAGCTGCCAGAGCACGCCATGTGCGAGCACCAGATGCCGGCGGAGGTGGCATCGCGGATGATCAGGGACGAGCTGAGTCTGGACGGGAATCCGCTATTGAAGTAATTTCCCCAATTGTAATCTTGCTCGGCATGGAGGAGAAAGGGCTAATTGTTTTCCAGCTTGGCGAGCTTCGTCACGACATACATGGTAAGTCCTTTCCAATCAATGACTGTTCCCAGACAGAAACTGACCAGAAACCAGGAAGACGAAGTTGAACAACTCATGACGGAGTCCCTAAGCAAGAACTTCATCGACTACGAGCAATACCCGCAGACAGCACACATGCACAACCGCTGCGTGGACATGATCGCAGACCTGCTGCACGCACCGACGACCGACGGCCACGGCGCGGATGGAGGCAAGCACGACGCGATCGGCACCTCGACGGTGGGATCCTCCGAGGGGATCATGCTCGCGACGCTGGCGATGAAGAAGCGCTGGCAGAACGCGCGCAAGGCAGCGGGTAAGGATTGGACGCGGCCTAACATTGTGATGAGCAGTGCTGTGCAGGTGTGCTGGGAGAAGGCGGCGCGGTATTTTGACGTTGAGGAGAAATACGTTTACTGCACCGAGTCGCGCTATGTTATTGACCCCAAAGAGGCGGTTGATTTGATTGATGAGAATACCATCGGTATCTGTGCGATTTTGGGCACGACTTACACGGGTCAGTATGAGGATGTGAAGGGGTTGAATGACTTGTTGGTCGAGAGGAAGATTGACTGTCCGATTCATGTGGATGCCGCCAGCGGTGGGTTCGTCACGCCATTTGTGAACCCAGAATTGGTGTGGGATTTTCGTCTGGAGAAGGTCGTATCGATAAATGTGTCGGGGCATAAGTATGGGCTGGTGCGTTTACCCTCTCATTCTCTTGCTTCTTGTCATGGCATTCGAACTAACGACGGCGCAGGTCTACCCCGGTGTGGGCTGGGTATTCTGGCGCTCGCCCGAGTTCCTCCCCAAAGAACTCATCTTTAACATCAACTACCTAGGCGCAGACCAAGCCAGCTTCACGCTCAACTTCAGCAAAGGCGCATCGCACGTCATCGGGCAATACTACATGATGATCCGGCTAGGCAAGCACGGGTACCGATCGATCATGGAGAACCTGACGCGCACAGCCGATCATCTCGCCAAAGAGCTCGAAAAACTGGGTTTCATCCTGATGAGCGAGACTGGCGGGCGCGGGCTGCCGCTGGTCGCGTATCGACTGCCCCCCGACGACTCCCGACTGTACGATGAATACGCACTGGCTCATGTGTTGCGGCAGCGCGGGTGGGTGATCCCGGCTTATACGATGGCGCCTCATTGTAACCAGCTTAAGATGATGCGCGTGGTGCTGCGGGAAGATTTCAGCTTGCACCGGTGTAATCTGCTGGTGGAGGATATGCGCGCGGCGTTGAAGTCGTTGGCGGATATGGATGCGGAGATGATTGCGCGGTATACCGAGTATGATCTTATCTTCTTTTTCCTTTTTCTATTTTTCTTTTTCGTTACTGTTATCTTCATTGATGCTATCATTTGACGTCTGATTGAGCGGTGCTGACAATTATTGAAGATATAGTCACATCCACGGCGCTCGAGCACCGGACAAACCGGAAGCATACAACGAAGATCGGCACTCATTGCAGGGAAAAACAGGGAAGACACACCTGGTGTGTTAGAAAGTTTCCTGTATGGGGAAGTCGGAATCCGCCGAGAACTGTCGAGAAGATGCAATAATGTGGCTATATACATATATTCCTCTCGTGCTGATGTCAAACGCAGCCCCTTGCTTGGGCTCTATTTCGATAGTGCGATGATCAACAGGAGTAACATGACATGGCATGACATGCCCTGCTGTGTTATGTCTTCCAGCCTGGAGGACCGCGAAAATGTCGGTGGACAGGTCTGTGCGGGATTGGCATGGTTGACTTCAATGGAATCGTCTATCAGACTGCTGACCGGGTTCGATGCAAATGCCCCCTTGTATTGTTTTCAAGACGCTCGGGTGAGAACCCTTGTCAATACGAATATTGGATAATCCCCGTACTCTTCCCTACGCAAGAAACCATATTGTTGAGAGATTTCCCATGCGCCAATGTATGTATACCTTCAATGAAGTGGTAAAAGCCTACATCAACCTAGTCGATACCATGACAAATGGAGTAGTGAATAATTACGCCCCGGACCCACCCAAAACAATAAAAAAAGCTGCACAAAGCCAAAAGAACACTAAAGAACTATAAACCAGGATCAACCACGCAGAAAATTCTCTCCTTTCTCCGACCGTCAGCAACCCAGAATGCCAACGAACCCTCTCCACATGATACGTCGTCTGCAGGCAGAGCCCCATATGTCAGACCCACCCAGCAAATAGTCTGAATGACACCGCAGGTGCTGTCAGACAGCTAGTTAACTAGCTAATTATGCATGACTAAAGTGGCAGCCATTGTTCTCGCGCAGCCCAGAGGACCCCGGGTGTTCGTGCGTTATGTCCGTGCCCGTCGTCTAGCCCCTTTCCCAATCGAGGCTTAAAACAGTCAACAGCGACTGTTATCAGGGATGGATGGAAGTAGGTTGACCGCTCATCACGAAAGAAGCGACATCGAGCAGTCTGGCCCGAACTATGTATGTGTCATGCTAGCCGGTCGAAATGCCTGAACGAGCGCAGATATTGATTGGGAGAAAGGCCGTGGAAGGCCGGATTCCGATTTACGATGGAAAGTCTCATTTCTTAGCTTCATGATATACCGGAATTCTCACTGCGGCGCAGACATATCATATCTTTTGTCTCATTTTACTGATATTAATCTTTTTTTTCTACGACTGACCCCTCCCCCTTTTCTCCTAAACGCCGCTGTCAGAAGAGGTATGAATACCCCGACACGCCCAGTCCGACTGTAGCAGAGAGACAGTGAGCCCGCACAATGTATCGAGTTCTCCTGCTGGTCACGGCTCTGTTGAGCGTCTGCCGCGTGCAGGCCAAAGGAGTATTCGCTCATTTCATGGTAAGTCCCCCGCAATCCACACGCTAGCAACCAAGGCAAAGAACTCACAGAGAATAGCTCCAAAACGCAGTCAACTACACAAAGAACGAATGGAAGCTAGACGTAGCAGCCGCCAAAGCAGCCAAGATCGACGCCTTCGCGCTCAACACAGGCTTCCACGAGACAGACAACACACGGCTATTCAACGACGCCTTCGCCGCAGCCCAAGAGCACGACTTCAAGATGTTCCTGTCGCTCGACTACTCAGGCGACGGACACTGGCCCCCAGACCAGGTAGTCAAGGTGCTGAAGAAGTACACAAAGCACAAAGCATACTACAAGCACGCAGGCGATGACAAGCCGCTGGTATCGACATTCGAAGGCGCACAGGCATCAGGCGACTGGGCGCAGATCAAGTCCAAAGTCGACTGCTTCTTCATGCCGGACTGGTCGAGCGTGGATCCGAAGAAGACGGCGCCGAAGAAGCACGTCGACGGGCTGATGAACTGGAGTTCGTGGCCGAATGGCACGGACTCGATGAGCACCGCGCTCGACAAGGAGTACATGGAGGCCCTAGGCGATAAGCCCTTCATCATGGGCGTGTCGCCCTGGTTCTACACGAATATGATACGGTGGCACAAGAACTGGGTGTGGCAGGGTGACGACCTGTGGTATACGCGGTGGCAGCAGGTGCTAGATCTGAAGCCGGAGTATGTGGAGCTGATTAGTTGGAATGATTACGGGGAGAGTCACTACATTGGGCCGATCCATCCCGGCAGCCTGGATGTGTTTCAATATGCGCAGGCGCCGTTCAACTACGCTGAGGGGATGCCGCATGATGGGTGGCGCGCTTTCCTACCGTACTTGATCGATCAGTTCAAGAGGGGGAAGCGCAATGATGATGAGGAGGCTGATATCGACGCGGGCTTGGTGGCTTGGTATCGCGTGAACCCGTCGTCGCGGTGTGAGGATGGGCGGACGACGGGGAATACGCGGCAGCAGGACCAGCCGACGATGGCGCCGGAGAAGGTGCTGAAGGACCGGGTGTTCTTCTCTGCGCTGCTGGATGCCCCCGCAGAGGTGACCGTTAGCATTGGCGGCGACGACACGTTGCTGTCACAGTGGCAGTATAAACCTAAAAAGGGCGCCCGGCAGGGCCTCTATCACGGCAGTGTGCCGATGAATGACCGCATGGGGGATGTCGTGATCACGATGTCACGGGATGGGGAGGAATTGGCGCAACTAAAGGGGCACGCGATTAGTGACGACTGCACAAAAAACCTGACCAACTGGAATCCGTGGGTAGGCCATGCATCGGCCAAGGGCAGCAAAAATTCGTCCGAGAAATCCTCGTCGAACGGGGAGTCGGCAGCTGGCCGTGAATCAATGACGTTGACGTTAGCTGGGGCTGCGCTGGCTTGGACGGCGTACCTGATGTTGGCATGATGCCATATCGAAGGGAACAGGAAATCGGAATAATGGAAGGATAGGGACCAGAAGCAAAAGGACGATGCAAACCTGGCGCCGGGATAAGGTCGGGACACCCTTGATTGTGGGAAAAAGGAACATATTCCATGGACCAGGGAAAACATACTGGTTCTATCTAGCTTACGATGTTATACCAAACTAATAGATAATGCCTAATTGTCGATCTCGCCACCGGCTATATCCGTTCCCCACAGGCTATTGGCCCCGATCTAGACTGCGATCGAGCGTACTCTATAGACAACTCCCTGGGTGATTGGGAGTTCTAGCTCGCAAACAACGGGTATCTCCAGTTCGAAGCCATGGGTGATGCAATATCGACCATGACTAACACCAACTCGACCGGGGATCAAAATACCGCATGCGAATAGAAAAACTTATCTCTCGACTAACACTGAATCTCGACATATTCCGAGGGTTGAGGGTGGCCGATCAATGAAACCCTTGATCTGGTGACATCCAATAATGCTATTTCGGGGTCGGGCTCGGTTTGACTGCAAAGCCCATGTACAATCATTGCCAAGTTTGACTAAAATTCATATTGATACCGCTGATGACTTGAGGGTTATGCGAGTCGATGTATTTAGACGGGATGTTAATATCCGCTCCCACTATCTCCAACATTGATCAAGGGATAGCAGTTAGGCTTATAGTTATCGTAGTAATAATGATCATGATCATAGGAATGACAACAAACGCAGTGGGGGGATTTTTTCACCGGAGTTAGTCCACTCACGATCTACCGTAGTGTCCAGATTGGTGGCATACGGACATATTCGGTGCAGCGTTTGGTTCTTCCCGAAACCACCCGACAAACCTTGGAATAATGGCATGGTCTCGTGGTGCCATAACCTGAATCATGCAGCGGTGGGGACCGAATGCTATTGTCGGAAAGTCCCGATCAAGGCAATGCGTGTCGTCTCAGATCGATGCGCGGAAATGGCTCGGCATATCTCCAGCAGAAACCAGACCAAGGAACCTCCCTGTGAAGAACAATGTCTTATCGCGCTGAAGGAGAACATCCTAGCCAATCTGCAGTCATCGGGAGGCCCATCCAACCATTCCATTCGTCGAGGATCTGCGTGATTGGGGTGGGGCCTAGTCAATGACACCATGACTTAGGGCTGACTCCCGATCGCCACTGCAGCTCCTCTAACCCTAACTGCCAGTCGACCCCGGGGTGGCCGTCAGCGAGCAATCGCTCCTGATTAGCCCGGAGTGTCCATGCTGAGTTCTCCTCCCCCCCACATTCGGTCCATCGGTCGTCTGGACCGGGCTGGTTTAGATCGGGGGTGGGCCTGAGTTAATCGGGGTGACAGGAAGACCAAGAAATATAAGATGTGTCTGATTTCCTGTTTTCGTCGAAGCCCCCTCGGATATCAGACGCTTTAGAAGAACTTTCGGACAATGTTCAAGTCTGGACAGTTTTTCCAGGACCCATAGACGTCCCAAGACATCTTTCTCTTTATAAATATACATTCCCCCCCACACACATACACACACATACACACACATACACATCAGAGAATGTCCGACATAACAGACATCCTCCACCGGACCTCCTCCCGCTCCAACACTCGCGTCCCCCCCATCGTCGCCGCGCGCCAAAGATCATCCTCTTGCAAGACTTCCTCCTCTCCACCCCCAACTCATATGGCCGCTCTCTCGCGCACGAAACTCCACAAAGAAACCTCCGCGCGAGACCCCGACCTCCGCCGCTGTCTCGGCCACCACCGCCTCCTCCGCCGATCCGTCCACCTCGCACAAGAAGACATGCAAAAAGCAGTGATCTCCTTCCAGACGGGCCCAGACCCGGGGTATGCTTCCGGCTCAGACTCCGATTCCGACGATGAGGAGTTCGACGACTACTACCTCAGCAAACAGCAGCCTACGAGTCACCCGCGCGAGGGCCCCCCCATTCGCGAGCAGATCGCTTCGGCAGTCAAGGCGATGGTGCGGCGGAAATTGTCTACCTCTTCTACTGTCACTCCTGTTGCTCTGTCGGAGAAGGAAGACGCCGGCACGCCGGCGTCTTCGGACTGGGCGTTTGCAAGTAGGAATAGCGCGGAGGTGTCTGCGCAGCCGGGGAAGTTCGAGATCAAGGCTGATGGCGGGCTGTCAGCTTCGGGTGGGATTTTACGGACTACTACTATGGCTGTCTCGTCTAGGGGAGAGGGGGAAGGGGAAGGGGAAGAAGCTGAAAAGGGAGAATTCCCTGATGGAGAGGAGAAAGAGAACGTGGAGCCTCTCATTAATAAAGCATTCGGATGTCCCCTGCAGCGACAGATGTGCCAGGGTGAGCAACAAAGACACGAAACTAGGTCGTCGAGAAAGAGGCGGCGGTTTCCGCTGGGGCGGAGACTCTGGTCGCAGAATTACGAGGTGCGGGCTGGAGCATCTTTTTAGATATCCGTTTTCCTTACTATACCTTGGGATAGAAGGTTAGACGGGCTACGATTACGATATAATACCCATATAGTTACTATTGCTGCTCTGTTCTTAATCATATCATTTGATAAATTATATACTTTCCTGGTGAAAATAATTTTCCTACTCGCGTAGCTTCTCAAGTAGCCTAAAAATCTTCAACATTAGGTGCTGTATTTACCTTGCATGTTATTTCTTCACCAATTAACACTTCAACAAGTCTCACAAGAAAGCCTTAAAACGCGTTCGCAGCTGGGGCCTTCCTACAATGCTTTGAGGACCCGTCAAGCAGCCGCTCCAGCGACACGGGCCCCACCGTAGATCGAAAGCTTTATGGCAACCTTATTGCTCGGGCAATATACTCCGAGATACTGGTCTGTATATGCAAACAGCCCATACGACCAAGCACGCGGCATAACGCCACGAGTGAGTGTATTTTTTTCGCAGGCAGCCCTGCAATGACATGACCTCGAAGAAGACGAAACTTTCCTCCATGTCGAATTTGAAAAGTGGGAAAGTGGGTCTGGATCATATCCCGCCACTCTAATCACACTTTGGGTAGGCGGAAATTGTCATCATTGGGTCGATAGGCGGGTCGGGAGATATGCCACGGGACAGGTATTGATGGCCACTGTGGAGCAGGATCAGTAGAGGTCTAGACCTTTTGGAACGTGGAATGTTCGTTCTTTGTATATTGTGCTATCAATGGATTCAAGTTGGCTGTCCTTGCAAGAGGTTTAAGTTGCTTTGAGATCACCCAGGACCTCCTATTTCAGTCTGTGCTCGAGAAGTCAAGGTCAAGACTATTATGTACCTATACGGGGTCTTGATACTTATTCAAGCCATGAGAGGCTAGTGAGAATGTAGATTACGTCTTACAGACACCTGATAAGACATTCCCAGGATAAACATTCAGTCCCATGGACACCTGTACCATGTTTAGAACCTATTCTTCTTAATCGCGAGGATCAGTTATAGACCCATATCTCTAGCTAGATCTTAAACATATATTAACTGTCTGTCGAGTCTGCTCCCATACTCAGCGTCAAAAGTTTGGTTGTACGAGACGATGTTTCCCGGCCACTCTTTTGAATCCGTCAAAGATTTTTTTCCCGAGATCGAAACAGGATGTCTTTCCTACAGTTCTCTGATTCAACACGGCTCAATGAATTGTGAATGAGGGGAGATGATTCTGTTTCACGTGGATGGGCGTGCGATGATCGTTTAAAAGTTCTTTAATTGAAGACCTGAAGATAGAGTATTTCACATCACCACTAAAGGAATGCTCAGATGTATTCGAGCTAATTTATCATTCGCAGTACTCCTAGTTGCCAATGTTAGGTAGATATCTTAATACATAATGAGAAGCCCAGGAAGAAAGGCCCAGGTTTGTGAGAGGACAGAAATGAGACTGATCAAAGATCCGATGAAATCTAGGAAATTATGGAATATTCCATACTAGTGACGTTCGAGTTGGAAGGTTCCGAGTCCCGCAGAATCTGGAAGAGAAAAGAAAGAAAAGACAAGTAATGTAGGTTTTGTCTTCCAGGTAATTGACAAAGCAACTGAAGTATTGTATTCACCGTCTACATTAATCGGTGAAAACTACCTAGGAAAGATATTATGTGGGAACAAATACCACTCGGCTACAAAAGATATCTAGACACTTTCGAGCTCTGTTAGTACGTTTTTAGGCACCGTCTTATTTCCGACATATCATAACCTATGTGAAATTCATTCCCAGTAATCCTGTCTTGAAAGGAAGGAAAGACACAGTGACATCAATAAGATGTACATAAGGAAAACTCTTGGTAGTCTACGATAGTGTCATGCCTATCGCTACACCGAGACTAAAGCTGTTATAATATAGTAAAATCATGCAACAACAGCAAAATATGATACAAAGTACGAAAAGAACACAATTTAGGACATAATTATATCGATATGGATAACACATGATAACGAATTAAGCTTATCTTTAAGCTTAGATAGGGAACAAAAGCCATGAGCCGCAAGTCTAGTTTCTATATCAACGATATCACGTGGCATGAAGTGAACCGGCCGCACTACTGCCTACATGATTACGGATACCTGGTAAGGAATCCTTTCTACAATGGACTTGGATATCAAGATACGAAGCGAGACGTATGGTAAAAATTGGTAGTAGCAAAGCCGAGAAGTGCTGTCAGACAACACTTCTTCCTTAAATTGCAAATGGGGTACTCTCATTATAAAAAAGAACAACAAACGCAAGCAGCGATCAGCCGCACATGCAGGTATGTCATGTCATGTCATGACCCTGTCAACCGACAGGCAAATTCATCAAACCCAAACACCGAGTCATGCAACGCCAAAAAGCACTTTTTTAAACATCATATCAGCAGAGCGCTGAAAGTAATCTCGTCCAGACGAAACCACGACAATGCAGCTTGATCGATTGATCGATCAAGCACTCGATCAGAAAACGCAATAGAGATAAAAGACATTACAACAGAGTAAAATGGGGGGATAAAACGAAAATAGAAGAAAGCAAAAGAAGAAAGTTATTAAGCAGGAACGTCCCAGAGGGCATATCCCCACTGCCATCCGTGGGAGTTGCCCATCGTGCGCTCATGCGATTCCGGTGCGTGAACCACACTGTCGACGGGTCCCTGCGCGCCGTACCAGTAGTGGCTCCAGCCGGTGGCCGGTTGGTCCATGACGGGGAGAGTGGACAGGAGGGCTCCGACACCGGGGACGTCGTAGCGGTCGGCGGGGTCCAGCATGGGGGTGCCGCGATGGCGCATGATGGAGACGCGGCTGTCGAAGGAGCGCTTGGCGGCGATAGAGTTGGCGGCTAGGAGGCTGTGCCGGGCGTGTGCGGTGGGTTGGGCCAGCACGGTGGCGAGGAAGCATGGGCCGAGCGCGACGAGATGGTTGCAGTAGTCGTTGTAGTCTTTGTTTTCGGGGGCTAGGTCATGTTAGTTTTACTTCTTTATTTGAAGATGGGAAGGGATAAAGGGAAAGGGGGAAATGAAACATACCCTCTTCATCGGCGCTGCCGTAGACAACCTCCACGGGCATCCCATCGGGCCGCAACGCCTGCCAAGCGGGTCCGTCGCGCGGGCCGACTTCGCGGGCGATCTGTGCGAACAGCGCGCTATACTCCTGCTGCAGGAAAGTGGACACGCTGCCGAACTCCTCGACTTCCCAGGGGGTCATGGGTCCGAAAAACAGCGCCCACATATCGTCCAGGGTGAAGTTGCGGTACCATGTTGCGGCGCCGCGGCGGGAATGCGGGTCGGCCGACCACTCCCGGGCACCGAAGATGTTGCTGTAGGTTTGGAGACGGCAGAGAGCGCGGAGGATGCGGGCGCGCTCCGCCGGGGAGACAGGCCCTGGGGCACGCTGGAGAAAGCGGGTGAGGAGGGGCTTCAAGCGCTGGTAGAGATGAAGGAGACGAAGGGAGTCGTCGGGGGAGAGGATGTGGCGTTGTGAGGTGGTCTCCGCGCGGCGACGGAGGTGATCCAGGAGGGAGATGATGTCGTCTCGGTGGGATTTGATTTCTGCCTGCAGATTTGTGGAGGAGACGGCTGCGATGGGGTCTGCCAAGCCGACATGGCCGTAGCATTGTCGGACCACATTGTGTAATAAGATCTTCTTAGACTGAAGATATGTGTTGTGGTAGATGGGAGAGGCTTGGATGAGCTGGCCCAAGGAGGGAAGGTCCAGGTGCTGTAGGACCTGCAGCCGAAGCTCTGTCGGGAGGGATTCAAAGGTCGCCTGTTTTAGAATTAGCATATTTGTTTCATTTCATTTGATATGATTCCATCCTTTCTCGAAAGGGAAAAATGGATGTTCGATCCCCTGGAATGGGAAGGGGAAGGACAAGGGGATCTCAGATAGGGCTGGATGGGATGTAGTTAGGGTCGGTGATGTCATACCATGTTGTAACAGACGGAAAAAACACGAGGAGCAATCAGGAGTCAAAGGGGAAGGAGGATAGGGCACAATTCATAATTATTTGCCTAAAGCGTCCCGGGGGGATTCTGGGTTCATATATATATGAAACCCTAAAAATGACCGCTCAACAAAAATCTGGCCAGACGCTGGTCCATGGTTGAGGGCGAAACTGACGAAGGCTGTAGAAAAAAATCAAACAAAAAAACCACGCAATGAGCGATCACTTCCTCTTGGCAACCCCGGCTTTTCCTCCTTGCGGGGGATCTGACTGGATCAGAGCCCAGGCGGTCATTCCTACGGCGCACCTTCTCGGTCCTATTGGCACGCCCCGCCGGGTCTCGCTCCACATGACGCCGTGGGTGAGTTTTCCTTAGGTAACGTTTAGCTAAAACGGGGGTTGTCTGCTTGCGGCATTTATGCACGCCCGGCTAACGTGATCATACGGAGCAAGGTTACTGGTTGATCTCAATGATTCTTTGTACCTGCTGATCTCTTGAATTCAAGGATATGTCGGTCTTTTTGACTCAGGGTGTGAGGCGGAATCGATGGGAATTGTTGTGCAAGAAGTGGCATCATTTGGCATCATTACAGACCACCCTGAGGCAATCTGGTCCACCCTCTGGAAATTGGCTTTCCTAACATGACAACAAATGGCATCATCGTGGAAAATTTCCATTTGCATCTGGACCTTGACTCATCATCACATCTTCTATAAATATCTTCACCGCTCGCTTATTGCCGGTACACAGATGACTCAGCCGGCTGCTCCTAGCCAATCAACCGGGTACCATCCCGGCTCGGCTTCTAGCGGGGAGAACTATCAAAAAGCCAATCCACTGACTAGTCGGCTAGTTTTTCAGTTAGTTTTTGTTGGTGGTAAGTACGGGGGGGTTGAGTTTCAACTTGCAGAGGGTGAAAAGCAGGATACGTTGTCCACATTGCCATAGCAGCATCCATTAATGCAGGATTAATGCATCCTGACCCGGAGTCTAGAACTATGACGTCAGCCAAGAACCGGGACTCCTCCCGGTAGTCCCTCGGTTCTTGCTCGGCACATGTATCCACCACTGCACTCAGCGATCACGACATTTGACATACTATGGTCAAACTTGTGTACATTCCAGGCACAGGAGAGAAACAGTAACATCATATGCAATTTGCACACCGTCCCGGATGTTCTCGGAATTGCGGTGTAGTGGGCCAGCATAGATGTACACTCGACAGGGGTTGAAAATGAAGACAACCAGGGCCAGTATGGATGCGACATGATAGTAGAAAGCTACTATCACAGGGTTGATGGGATAGTGTTTTGCACAAGAATGTACACATGGCATTGACTATGAGATTTTGGTAGGGCACGAAATCTGACACTTTGCAATCTGATAACGCAAGCCTTGAGGTGCACTTCCTTTCCATCGCCAAGGAAGTCCGACGTGTTCCCCACAGTTCAAAGCATCCAATCATGCAATCACAAGGCCGGCCCAGAGCACCATAATACGACTGCACAGATCCATACTCGTAAGTGTGGCCAGTCGGGGAGAATAAGTATGCATTTTGCACAGGGTGGTTGAAATAAGTGTTCCACAGCCGAGGTATACAGTCTCATCCGGACTCGATATTCGGTGGTGTATAACTTGGTTGTTGGGTATTCACTTCCCTTATCCAATGGGGGGTAATGCGGGGATATTCAATACTGGGCAGTATGCCTAAATATATCATAAGGATCATATACTACCCTCCTTCAACCAATAACTTGTCTCACTTCCACTACTACAGCCATGTATAACCCACGAGATCATCACAGAAGACGTTTTGTGTAGACGGCACTCCTTTACAAGAAAGAGTGCACATATGGCTGGATGTTTGAACCATGGCAGTCTGCGAGTGTCCTTGCATGTTCTCTATGTTCTGAGAAGGGCCAATGCAATGACTGAAGAGTACGGCGGCAGGTGTTTGCTTTGGTGGTACACGGGTACCGGCGATTTTGAGAACGTTGCTGTCCCTCATGCTGGGATATTGCTTCCGTGTGTTGTAGCAGCTAAAGGGACAACGGCCTGGGTACGACTAGAGGTTAACTACAACGGGAATCAATCCGTATGGATGCGAATCCTCCGTCTTGTGGCACCTCGATCGGGGGTTAATTTCGTCGACTAGCCAGCTATCTTCTTTCGATCCGCAGTTGAACATGTTTGCCACGGTGTTGCGGATACTGGGGTTATAGAGAAGATAGAATAGTTGTTATCAGTTTCTTAGTTGGGGGTATTCTTGCAGGCGAGTTGTATTGTCAATGAGACATGTGAAAGATGATACCTTTAATCAGTGGTTTGCAGTTGTTCAATGCGTGTTCAGTCACCTGATAGTCATCTTTCTTACACTTCTACAATTGTGAAATCTCTCCTCAACGCACGTCTCACCGTTGTCATTTTCATCGACTTCCTCAATTTTATCAACCTTGTCAACTCCGATGAGTTCCACTCAACCGTACCATGGTAGACGGTGCGCTTCGAAATCCCATTGGAGGATATCTCACCAAGGAAACCCCATGATACAGCCCACGCCGTTGACAAAGTATACGCGTTCGGTGACCTAGCCACGTCAATGCCACTCTTATGTTTACATAACTTATGTTTACATAAGATAATTGGAGGTATGCAGAATAAGAGCAAGGAAGTCGTCTCCGTGACTGCTATTGGAATTTCGTGCAGTAAAAAGAAAGGCGTGGGAAAACATGCAGCACCCCAAAACAAAAAGAAAAAAGAGAGAAAGAAAGGAAGGCCTCCCGCTGACTGCAGAAATCTGGCACAGAAACATGATGAAATGCATTGACAACGTTATCGAAAAACAAAGGGGAATCATTATAGCCAAAAAATATCACGTCACAACGCCATCTCATGCTGAAAGATCGATGCACACCCAGACTCATTATCTCGCTACGAACCAAACTCCAAAATGACAGCCCAATTTCTCAGGCAAGAAGGCACCCGTCATACAGGGAGGAGGCTCTTAGCCGGCGCTCGCGTCCACGCGCGATAGAACGAACCCCCGATTACCAGGAGGAACATGATCAGAACACACCAAGCCATCAAGTACGTTGCTTCCGTTGATAAAAGCTCTGGCACAGACCCTCCGTCAGCGCCATAAAGTAAGTGGGGCGCCTTGAGTGATTGAATGGGTCTTGCGGGGCTGCAGAAGGGTGTTAGCCATGTACGTATGGACAAAGGCGCTGGTAAAAAGTAGGAATTACTTACAGCGCTTCATAGACTGTTGTGCGTGTCTTGTCTAGAAACCCAATCAACGCTTGGACAGTGGACGCATGGTCTGCTTGTGACTCCGATGGTGAGATGACCATAAGCTTGTGCGTATCGTATTGGGCCCAGCGCTCGATGGGTGCGCTTTTGTGGATTTGTTCGAAAACGGTAGCGACGCGAGTCATTGCAGTGGTTATGGCTATGCACTGGGAATTCGCAAGGGACTTATGTCGGTCGGAATATAGGTACTATGCCAGATGATGTGATGGCTCCTGCGGTGATTGATGATTGGTTGAGTGGACAGAGATAAATCGAGCTCGTCAGCCCTAGCAGCTTGAAAGGCGCAAAGAAAACACGTCGTTGGACGATTGAACTTCCACGAGGGTGACGCCTTATATATCATGATGCATAATATGGCCCCCAATTAGTGGGCTATCCGCCGCGGGGCTTGGACAAAAAAAAAAGACACCGCCAGCAGGGACCATTGACTGATAGTAGACAGAATCAGGTAATAACGGCCTTAGGATACAGGGTACCGACAGGATGCCAGGATCTGGTGGGCAGTTTATTAGCCCGAAAGATACGAAGACCCAATTGGACTGGGTGCCAAGGCGTGAAAACCCGTGTCCATTGGATGATGGAAAGAAGCTAAGGAAGCAAACCCTTTGGTCAGATGTGGCTATGGCAACTTAGCTGCACATTCGACAAAGGCCTTTAATGAGATTCCAATTATAAACTCGGGGCTTGCAGTTCCAGCCGCTTATCGTGTTATTAAGCGGGCTAAAGGCAGGGAGATTACCATACCCGCCTACAGCTAAAGACATGCTTGTGTCTTTAGAGAGTCTTCGCTATAAGCCCGAGGGCGAGGCTGTGCTCCATTGAACTGTTCAAGCTCCCATTGCTGTGGGGACACGATAGGGGCAGCCTTGCCTAATTTGGTAAGTCATCGGCAGGCTGACTGCCCGGCTGCCAAAGGACAACTGCGCTAGAGCCAGCGGAGGCTCAAACGGTTCTCCATGGTCTGCTCTGGTCTACTCCGTACAATAAACACCACGAACTGATCAAGGGGTATCTCGATATCGCTGGATGGCATGTCTGTGGAGTGGCCACAGTATTCAACTTGCCAGTCCACGCCTTCTGGGGCCCTGATGTTACGGCACGAACCGCTCGATCACAACATCCTGTCACATTGGGGCCGAGAAAGTAAGGGCTAGCAATGCAACCTTGGATCCAATCCCTGAAAATCTGACAAAGGACTAACCTGCGAATTTGTTTCATCGCATCCACTTGAGGATCTTCTGCACCTTTCTGAGCTAAATTCAGCGCATATGGCGTGCAGAGAAAGTGAAATCTCAGATTAAACCAAGCTGACAGTAACAGGCTAGTAGCGTGCAGGCTGAGGCCACAAGCCCGCTAAGTTGCCTTCACCACTTACCCGCTTGGGCACAGCGAGCTAGCTAAAAATGGCTTTAGTGTGGAGGAACTTAAATAAGACAATTGCTCGATAGTCGATGCTCGCTGGAATCATCTCGCACTCGGCAACCGGCGACGCTGCGATGGAGTAAATGTGGACCCACTCTGTAAGCGTCTGGTATCATGTCTAGTGTGGTCAATATTCCTCGCCTGCGATCCCGTTTGTTCTGCCATCGAGATGTTCATTTCGCCTCATTCTTGTGTTAAATCACAGCAAACAGCGCGGACTCTGAGAAGTAGGAACAGAGGGTATCTGGACTTCAGTCTTATGGAGACATCACTTAGCTGGAGATGACCGTTTGGATCGATGTGGGAACTCTATCAGATAGCTCCAAAGTGCGCAAGGCCCTTTGCTCCACGTATATTCTGAAGATCTCTATGCGCGAGCGATCTGAGGCATCTGACAGAACATTGTTTCGGTTCCTGCATATCCCTTGCGTCGGCTCCACCCCCGGACAAGATCTCTCATACGGCCTCAAGAACTCTGAGAAACAGCTCCACCATATCTGACGGTATAAAAGATATGACGCATAAAATGATCATCTGTAATATTGGTTTCAAAGCGGCAGTATAGCAGATAGGCGGGATGGCAAAATCCGAGGACCCCAAATCAGGGGTCACAACCACAGCATATAACATGGACTCGATCCCATCATACTTCATTCTCAGAAGACCCAACACCATCAACTAGTGAGGTAAACAGAAAGCGACAAAAAGAAAATGGAAACGGAAATGAGATCAGCTGCCCCTTCCCACGCCCCAGCCCCCTACCTCAAAGTTTCCTCAGTCAACCTCACCACCGACTGGGACGAGTTAGCCGACACCTACTGGGAGTCATGGAAAGCCCCCCGAACAGCATGGAGCGAGATCAGTTGCCCCTTCATAGGCAGCAACACCGCCGAAGAAGCGCACGCGCGGGCCGAGTTCAAGAAACGCGGGCTGGTACAGATCCACAACGATCCGAGCACACACATGCTCAAATGCACTGATACGCGGTCGGGCCGCATCATCGGCGGCGGCTTGTGGAGGGTCCATCGCACGAACCCCTATCGGTCGCCTCTGCACGAAGAACAGGCAGTGGCTTTCCCCGAAGGGAGCGAAATGCGGGAGTTGGCCGAGAGCGCGTGGTCCGAGCTGTCGAAGTGGCGGCAGCGATTGATGCAGGATGCGCATATCTGTATGTATATCATTTCTTCCTATTTCTTCCCCTCACCTGTTATTCTTCTACTACTCGTTTCAACTATCCCTACGAATGCATACTAACGAGGTCCAGCCGGAGAAGAAATCTGGGCTCTTCCGGAGTACCGCTCCCAAGGCGCAGGAAACCTTCTCATGGATGAATTTTTGCGACTCATTGACTACCACCAGCTCGAAGCCTTTGGAGAGGTCACACACCTTAGTCGTCATCACTTGGAGAGGCGCGGATTCGTGGCTATCGCGTACACAGACGTGAAGTGCCCGCGGGCAAATCCGAGCGAGAATCTGAAGCGGTTGGTGCGAAATATGCAGCAGAACCCGCTATGTATTATTTGGAGGCCGGCTGGAGGGGGCTACGTCGAGGGGAAGACCATCTTGCCTTGGGAGGGACAGCCGCGGAGGGCGAGGTTGTAGGGGTGGATTGGTGATATGTGGGTTTAGTGTGATTATATCTAGGTTTGGCGTTGGGCAGTTTGTGGGAGGCAAGCTTTTGCATTCATGATAGACATCGGCATGTATAATAGCCATTTACTACTAATTAATATCAATTTTACGGAGTACACCGTACATTTGAAGCAATCCAACAAAACCCAATACTGAAATGAACACCATGTGATCAACCAGGCCTATATCCAGTGAACGGGCCTACTTGGCAGACTTAGAAAAACAGCAGTCAACATTCACCAGCTACAAACCACGACAGTGAAAACCTTCCTAAAGCCTAGCATAATATCCAAAGTCAACCCTCCCACCCACCAGACATCCAACCTCAACCCTACCCAAGGCCACCCCTTCATCAAAAAAGCAGAAGCAAAGAACCAGCAGCCAAACAACAACCAGCATCATTCACGAGTCCAAAGTCAACGAGCTACAAAAGGTACCCTATACCAAAACTACCTCAAGATTTAAAAGCCCCGAGAGCAGTCTCAAATCCAGCGTCCAAATCCTTCATCGTATCGAAAAGAGTCTTCCGATCCGCAGACGACGCCTTGCGCTGCAGTGCTAGCGATAGCGTGCCTGTCTTGCCGTGCAGGGAGCCGATATCTGCCGCGACGAGATTGTTGACTCCGAGGTTGACGAAGTGGGGTTTCTAATTATATTTTATTTCATTTATACCCATTCACACGCATACATGTATATAAGAGGAAAGAAAGAAAGAAGGGAGGGATATGGACAAACCTTAGTAACAATCCCATCCAACGCACTCCTAATATTCGGCTGCAATCCCAGCACCAAGCTCGTGATCGTCGCACTATCGGCAATGGAAAACGCAGCGATGGCGTCAACGTCGGTAGTGCACTGGGTCAGGCTGCTCTCGACAGCAGATTCCTTCCGCTGGACGTCGAGGGCGTTGAGGATGCCGCCGGAGAAGTTGTTGACGGCTGTGGTGAGGGCAGAGAGGTCTGTGGCGAGGGTGTGCAGGTCGTTGATGACGGTTGAGATGTCGGCTTGCGGGTGGATGGGGATGTCTTTGTTGATGTCGATTGCTTTTGCGGTGGTGGGGTGGAGGTGGAGGAGGAGGGTGAGGAGGATGCTGAGGAGGGGGGTTAAATGCATTTTCTTTCTCTCCTTTTCTAGTTTGTGTTGAGGTGGTTTATGGTAAGTTGATGTGGTGTGTTCTTGCTTTGGCTTCGGTGACGGAGGCTTTATATCCAGGGGATGGTTCCCAGATACCCAATTGAGGGAAATGCTTGATAGTGAGGCTGCTCGCTTGGCATAGGCGACGGTGTAACATATTTCAAACCATCGGGTCATTAAATCATCTTGTTCCCCGTGGGATGAGATGAGGCAGTAGACATGGATCAAAGGTTGATATCATTACGTGCATCGTCTGCGTTACAAGGTAGTCGAAGAACAATAAACTATGATAAAACAGAACAAAATACAGAACGGAAGACAGAACAGTTTTAAAAGAAAAAGTGAACAGAAAAAGAGAGTAAAGAAAAGAAAGAAAAAAAATCACCCCCAAACAGCCAACAACACAACCTGCCCATCCCCCGAAGGATAACACTTCCTAATCTGCCTCCCAAAATCGCCCCCCAACAACCTCACCAAACAAGCCTTAACTTCCTCAAAATACGGCTTATTCCAATGCAACCTTACAACCCAATACACCAACGCCTTCGCATCCACCCCCGCCCCCACCGAGTCCCCCCCACCAACCCTCGCCAAGCGGTTCGCATCCCGCAACACAGGATCAACCGCATGCGCCACCATCGCCCTCAACACCTCCTTCACAGCCGCCGCAAACCCACTCTCCCACACAGCAGCCGCCAACCCCACCTGGTACCGCGCCTCAAAAGCAGTCGCCACAGCCGCAAGCCTCGCATCCGACGCAGCGAGGAACAGCTCGCCGACGCTGACTTCATCCGCGGCCAGCAGCGCCGCGTGCAGCGCGCGCACGTCGTCTTCCACCGCGGTCTGGTCGAAGAACGCTGCGTTCTCGGGCCGACTTGCCCCCAACAGCTGCGCGAAGAATGGTCCGGCAGGTCCGCCGCTGCTGCGGATTGTGTCGACTAGTGCGGTGCCGTACTTGTTGACGTAGGCGTATTTGATTGCGCGGAGGTCGGCGTTGCTGCGCCCGATGAGCACGTCTGTGAGAGCTGATGTGTCTGCGTTGGTACTGTTGCTGTTATTGTTGACGATGACGCCGTCGTGGAGGTGTGTGAGGTCCTGATCGAGGGGGCCGTCGGCGAGTGCTGCGAGTGTCGCTGCTAGGGGGCCTGTTGTTTGGGATAGGATGTCCTTGGTGAGGCTGCG